AGCCGAGAGTAGCAGAGACCTCACCACGGCGGTTGAGAACCTCGACAGCCTGTACGTAGGTGGGATCCGAGTCAGGTGTCTTTCGCATCTCGGCAATATCCTTGCTCTTCTCGAGCATTCCAAAGGGAGCGCCAAAGGCAAGGTCGCCAATGATGTCAAAAGCCAGATAGTTGAACCAATTGAGAGCGTCGATGGTGGCATAGCCGGACCGAGGGTTCCCATTGAGCTTGGCAAGCTTGGTCCACTGCTGAACGAACAGCTCGACGTTCTGGTGGATGTACTGCTCGAACTGTCCAATGGACTTCATACTGAAGGTATGAGAGACAGTCTTGCGCTTGCGGGTATGTTCTTCACGGTCGCGAGTATTGAAAAGACCGCGACGAATCGAGACAAAGGCATCATAAAAATCGCTGTAGGGTAATAAGTAGAAACTCGGAAGATATCATGGGTATAGCACATACGATTTGAGGAAGCCATTTCCGTGTCCGTAGATAGCTTGAATTGCAGCGTCGTCCGCAATAGAGACCTGTCTTGGCGCAATGCGGACGAGTTTTCCGTATTTCTTATGGGCCTCATCCACCTTCAGGAACCGATGACCTCTACGGGCTTGCAGGAGCAGCCAGAGGTTGCTAAAGGCAGCAAAGCTCGGCGAAGGAATATCACGTAGGTGCGATTTCTGCAGGTACGGAACGATGTAGTAAGCGGCAAGGAGACCCAGCAGGATAAAACCTGTGTTCTGCGGGGTGAGGAGGTCGGTGATCATGGTGGGCCGCTCCTAAATCTCAATCTGCAAATCTGCCAGTTCTAAGCAGGATTGCTTAACTATTAGTCACCGCGCCGATGTAGTTAGATGCTGTGTTGCAATGGTCTGATAGGGCTGCCATCAATTGCAACTAAGCGCACATTGACGGCTTCCAAACCGGGCGGACTAACCTTTTTGGTAGCTAGTTCGGACAAACGCTTTTGCACGCTAAAGAGCGATAAACGAAAACGGCCAGGATTCTCTCAAAGACAGACTCAAGTCGATCACAAAGAGCCAAGATCTAGTCCATGGCAGTCTGCTGATGATATAGTCTGCCAACAAACCTTCGCAGACACTGCAGTGGTGCGGCCTATTTATGGATTGGAAGATTGGAACAGAAGAGGGGAAACCCCGAGGCTATCCAAATGACGGATCTGGGGTTCGGGAGTCTGGGGTTGGGCCAACAGCCGATCTTCGACCCCGACACTGCGTTCCCACCGCTTCACCGCTCGGTTATTCAGTTTTTGACTCTTGGTGCTAGTATCAAGAGTGGGGTTGACGATCATCTTGTTGGCCAGGACAAACCTTGTCTTGTAATTGGAGGTTCATATTGGTGATGGTGAGGAGGAAGAACAAGTGGTCTCGTCGCCTGCCTGCCTGCCGGGATGCCTGATCCCAAATGTGTCAAAGATGCAGATGATACAGACTACTCCCAATATAGTGCAGATCTTTGCATATTTACAGCTGACAGACTGAGCTTAAGAGGCCTTGTACTAGTAGTAAATGGTGTGGAGCATCTCAATTTATATATCGACATATGCACATGATATATCAGAGAATAGAGAGACTGGTCATATATGCTGCCTAGGACTATGTACATCTCTATCAACAGTAGGCTGCACATTTACCATCGTTCTCCCTCTACTTGGTACAGTCCACTCTTCCTCTTTTCGGCCTCCCACCGTTCGAACCATGCCTTCATTCGCTCCCGACTCTTCCGGCTACCCACATTCACGGTCGGGATTATCCGACCTATCCGTAAGGCGCAGCAGAACATAGTCAGCTCACGGAAAGAGCTGTGTTCGCTGTACGGTACCCCGTAGCACGCGCTCTCCCGCGTACTGCCTCTTTGAGGTGTCAGATCGCGTGCCGAAAACGGCGTTTTCCATTGCGGTGAGTGCAACACCGTGGACACGGGCGGGTTGTCCAGCATTCGACCTGCCGGCGGGCGATAACTCCACCCCGTCGGCCGAAAGCCTACAATGCGCGAGAAATGCGGCTTCATTGAGTCCAAGTAGTCGGCCAAGGTTTCTGCACGAATCTCAAAGAGCGTCTGCATATGCACCTGAGCCTCAGTCGGATCATCGGTGAGCAGTGAGGATAATTCCGGGTCTTCTAAGCACGCGCACACTCGCTTCTTGGCTGGAGTGGCATATATCTTGCTTTTGAGTGCTCGAGCAATACCAAGACATATTCGCTCCTTGCCGATACTGTATGTCCCTATAACAACAAGCAACCGACCCCGAGCGCGGGCGGCCTGGTTCTCTGAATTGCCACGGGATCCGCTCATCGCAGAAAAGAATCGGCTCATAACCTTCCCTGCACCAGAGCTTTCCTTCTGCAACAGACTCTGACCGACACCTCCTTCCGGATTCTGGTCGAGACTGACACACAAATTCGCGCATGCTTCGATGACATCCTCCTGGCTGGGGAACGCATACTTAGGACTCATATATGTCGTGTCAAGGTAACAAACGTCAATTTTCTGTGGACGGCGTTGGCCAGTAGCAGGGTCATCTATTTCCGGCCGCAAAAGTGCATGTTGCACATGTGTGGGAGATGCTCGAAAGTCTCCACAGTGCAAGATTCGTTGTACTCTCGCAGATGGTCCGGATCCCGCCTGTTTCTCGAAAAGGAAAATGGCGCTCCCAGGGCAGTGATTGGCCTCGATCATGGTGACATGCACGCCATTCGTTTCAGGGACCTCCGTCTTTTTTTCGAATTGCAGGTCTACCACCCATTTGGGGTCAACTTTGAGTTGCTGGCGCACTAGATTAGCCGTAGCCCTGCTGCAGTAAATAGGGCCATGTCGCCAGGACGATGTGAGACCTATATAGTGATCACTATGATAGTGACTGAGAAAATAGGCGGTACAGCCTTCCACAGCGCCGTAGCGAAACGCATCCACACAGATGGAAAAGCCAGGAAGAATCTTGTAGAACGGGCAGGTTCGTTGATAAGCCTGCTTCCCGCGAGACGCAATCTCTCCTGCTGCTGCAGTCGCCCAAGCGACATCTTCAGCGTTTCCAGCCATAATCTTTGAGAAAGCTGAGTTTGGCTTTGTACCCCCTGAAAATGGGTCACGTTGAGCTGGTCGTGGAACTGCAGCCCGATCGGGCCGCGATAGGGCTTGCTTCGGAGCGTTTGAGGGTGTTTCCGCTGAGTTAGCCGTAGACTTCCCATCGAGACAATCGTTAACATGCAGGCTCACATCCTGCAACAAATCAGTCTAAGGTCCAAGCATTTGAAATCCAAACCGGCATCTTACCGCCTCGCGTAACCCTGATAGATCTGACTGGCATATCGGACATACAGGGCCTTCACCACCGGAACATTCGCTAACATCATTCATCCCTAAGGAATCATCCATGATGGTTGGGTCAAGGAAATCCTCCTTCTCGCCAGCATCTTCGTCTGCGTAAAATGGATCAAGGGTATCGTCGCCGTCTAGGAAGTTATCGTCTTCTATATCGTCAAAATTTGCGAATTCATCGTCTCCTGCGTGACTCGTGGCTTCTCTTACCAATGAGGGTGCGGCGACAGCGGGCGGTTGCTCTTTAAGTGCCGGATTAACATCAACACTACTAGTTGGACTTTTTTCCTCGTTTCCGGTCGTGGTCCGCTCAAAGCTTGGGCCTCCTTGGTCTATCTCCTTGAAGGCGCCCAGATCGTCGCCCAAATCGTCCTCGCTGTCTGATTCATCGATAAAAGGACCACTAACTTGCCGGGTCTTGGTAGGTTTGGCCGGACGGGAAAAATCGGCCTGATCAACCGCTGGGGAAGAGTCCACTTTTCGTCGCTTGACCGAGTTCCCGTCCTCGTTATATCTCCCATCTTCTGGCTGTGGCGCATCTTCATTCCCGTCCTCATCTCCCCAGATATCATCCGGTGTCCTCGACCGAGATTCGCGAGCGTCGGAGAAACGAGTTCCCGTCGGCAATGACTTCGATCCATTCTTATCCTCCAGAAACAGACTCCCAGCCGTATTACTCGCTTGCGAGCTACCTTGTCTGCGTAAGGAAATGGGACTATTACCGCTCCCACTCGAACGCTCAACCTTGGTTGCAAACTGCGTGATTCGAGGCTGCCGAGAGGTGGCTTGCGGGGGCCCGTCGGCTTTCTGGAAGAAATTCAACAGACTGGCATTCCGTTTCACCTGCGTCTTCTGCTTTGAGCCGGCTGCTGTCTTTGATGGAGTGAATCCTTTTCGCGCCTGGGTGCCCGCCATTGTCGATCTTCAAACGGATAATTGCAAGGACTTCGGGGGAATCGGCGGGATCATGCGGGCACGTCGTCGTCGGTATAACGATGGCAATTCGTTTATCGCTCGCTCCAGGGGCATGCCTTCCGTATTCACATGAAGCAGGGAAATTTCCCGTCACTCTTGTTCAGGAAACATACAAGTTCGTGTCGTCATGAGTCATGTAATTGGCGGTTGAAGAAGCCAAAGCAGAAGGGCGCGGCCGGCGCGGCGAATCCTGATTTTCGCGACGCGAGGTCACGTGCGTATATGGGCTTGAGTGCCGGTTTCTGTATGCTCTACGAGAGACACCCTCAGATTCAACTACATTTGCTACCATTGACAGTAAGAAAACAATAAGCATATTGCTCTTGGGTTGATGATCCGATCCTTGAATCTAAATCTAGTTGGGCTTCTCGAACGCCCTCACTTCCAAAATCTGAGAGCTATCCTAACGTCCGATCACCATTGCGGATATAAGCCAGCTGTCAGAAAGGCAGCTGAAGCATAAAATAACCGCTCTTTTCGCCCGTTGAAATCATTAATACGCCCTCCTGTGGTATCATATTTCTCAACCACGATCACCCTCATTCCAACTTGTAGTATTCCCCCGCAATCAGTTCGTTCGTGGAACATAAAGTGAGATCGCATCGTGAGCGATCATGTAAGAATCAATTGAGTGATATGCATCGTCATAGATAGATGGCCTCGAAGAAAAAGGTAGAATCCAATCACCGATCACCGAGCTTTTCCGGCTTGGTTCGCGGCCTCTGTGAAGAGATTACCAGTTAGCATCCGTCTATAAGAAATGATATGGTTCACCCAGGCTACAATAAATCGCCTCAGCTATGCCGAACCCGCAGTATCTCACGACGTACCTCTCCGCGTAGCGTCTTCTAAAAGACCAACATCGACCTCTGACCGAGGCAACATGACATATCGCACCACGCTACCACGGATGAACATGTTCTTCACCGAGGAGAGATGAGGGTATTTGTCCAAATCGAGGACGTCGACATCGTCAAGCTTGATGTTGAGGTATTGATCGACCGACTTCAAGGTTCCGCGGATACGGATGTCATTCTTGAGCTCGATGGTGACGGTCTGGTTGGTGAGGGTCTTGAAAAAGCTATAAAGAGGCAGAATGTCAGCTGGACCAGCCGAAAGTGATGATGAGCCAGCTATAACTCTTAGTGGCATACCTGAAGAAAAGCATGGTCGCGACTTTAGGGCGATGGAGGGGTAGTCGAAAGAAAAATCAAGGCGCTATCGCATTGCTTGTCAGGTTTTGTAAATGGGTGGTATATTGCCTCCCGTGTCCCTCTTTGATGAGAACCAGAAACGCGAAGGGCGAAATATCCTGAAGTTGGGGATTTGAATTTCATGACGCATTGCGTCGGTCGGGTTGTTGAACTCAGCAGGATCGCATCACGTGATTTTATCTCTGGTTTAGCTGGAGGCACAGGAATAACATCAAAGTATAGTCGATGGGTAACAACGAATTCGACATGCCGATTAGGACTAATATGACGACTACTTCTACAGTGTGAGGTTTTATCAGAAAAAACATATGGCTGAGGTCTTACCCGCAAGTGTGTCTACGTCTCTTCGCTGCTGTATATAAATAGCATTTGTCGTAAATATTCCAGCGAGCTAGATCAAATCTCGCAGTCTCTCGAACCAGGTGTATCAGATATGCGTTACGGGGAGTCCTCAATCATTATTACATTATAGGCTGCCACCAGGGCAATAGGGGTATCAAACTATAAGACCGATCCAACTAACATAAAGCATCATCAAAGGGAGTGTAGTTCGAGAAACCAGTTCTTAGGTCAAACAAAACAGTTACCGGTTCGAAGACGCGAGGGCGGAATCTTGCGTTTCGGCTTCGTCGCCCATCCAGACAGGCAGGTCCAGCCTGCGCCGTTCTTGCGGCCCTCATCAAAAACGCTACCAATACCTTCAAGCAACCGGTGTCGCTCCCGACCCATCTCGACTTGCAACTTGAGAAGCCATTGCTCCCACATCCAGCCTCCAAAGAGACCTGTCACGCTGGCGATGTCCGCCGTACTGCCTACAGGCCCGTGCACAGCTTCGTATTCGTCGACCCAGCTCTTGACTCGAGGGTCTGGCGTCTCTCGGGGAAGTTGTGCTTTTACAGGCTCCATACCCATAGGCAGAAACGTCCATGCCCTCTTCACACCTACGAAGCCTCCGCTTCGCAAGCGCCCGAGGAAGCTCTTTGTTGGTAACGGGTCATATCCCCTAGTTCTGAGGTTGAAAGCGAACTCAACCGAAGCAGCGGTGGCATACGGTCCTGCGCGTGAAATCTCGGCGTCCATCACGAAAAACTCCAGATAACCCCCAGGCTTGAGGCAGCGGCGGCATTCCTGTAGGCAAAGGTCGTACTCATCCTGCGTTTCCCCGACTGGGCGCTCGTTCTTCAGCAAGGCAGGAAGTGACCGGGCCGAGATCAGGTCGAACTTGTTGTCCGAGAACGGTAGTTTCCACAGTTGTGTCACGGAAATCTGGCAATGGTTAGGCGGGCCTTTGATGCCATAATTTACTGCTTGGTGCTCAGTAAACACAGTATAGACTTTAACGTTGGGATAATCGTGGGCAAGCTGCCATGCCCATTCGCAGGAGGCGTGTCCGCCCAGATCCAAAACCCTCACCCGGCGTCCTCTAGGCTTTTGGGGAGGCGCTGGTTGTGGAGTTGCCGTCGAAAGCCGCCTCCTGGCTGGACTGGTGACCAGGTGGCCGCCATTCAAGTACTTGAGAGCATCCATGGCCCACATGGGCGGACGAAGCTGAGATAAGACCAATTGCTCCTTCTCCAGGATGGAGAATTGTGCCTTCTCTGCCAATACCGACGTAAGTACAGAATTGCGGGGAGCCTGTGAGAATGGACCCTTGTAGGGAGGTCGTTCGGGGCGCACAAGCTCATAATTCCCCAGCAAACAGTTGATATGCATACTGAGCAAACCTGATCGAATTGACTGCACAGCGTCAAAGCGCGTGCTCCGATGAATGAAGCTGTCTCGACGAGTCGAAAGCCCAAGCACCGATTGGAAGCCTCGCCAATAGATCGAGTCTTTACTCGCCAGGGCAGAAGGTGGTCTGGCTGCTTCAGATACGGACTCGGCGAAGCGGACTGATTTTTTGCGACATAACCCAGGGTCGTTCTGCTCACAATCATCTCGAAACCCTTCGAGTGCGTCTGAGTCTTCTTTCTCCAATGAGTTGACAGGATTAGTTTCGCGGAGCGCAGCAAGATAGGTCTGCTGCGCCGCCAACCAGACACTCGTCCGATCCAGACTCGACATTGCCTTTCTTTTCAGTTCCTCCTCGTAGTCTTCATCCCGATCCTGGCTTTCGCAATAGGTGGCCGGCCTTGAAATCTCGTGCACTGCATCCGCTACTGGGCTCACAGGGCTGTCTTGATGTCCCAGGGGGAACGATGACGCCTCCGACGGTATCTTGATTGCAGTTGGAGGTCCCTCGGGGACATAGGTCGCAGTCAATTGCTCCTCGGTGCATCGCTCGGGACATTCAATAATTTGTTCGACTACTTCTCCATCATCGCGACCAAAGGGCAAGTTGTAGAAACTTTCCGCGATGGCAGAAGAGGGCGGCATAGCAGTCCTAGGAATCGACCAAGTGTGACGAGCTCGAGCCCCAAGTGACGCAAAGAATCCTCCGGGAGAAGGTATACTGAGCCCACTGAAGCTGTATCCGGAGAGGGCTGAGGCTGGAGTCGCATCATCGGCGCTGCGAGGACGCTCGACAGGTAGCTCGAGCTCCCACATCTCTTCGTTCTGAGCAGATGTTTCTGACCAGGGCTCCGGTGTGCCACCCAGTGGGATGTGCCTCAAAGTTGCGAGGGCATCTTCAGGAAGGAAAACGCCACCATCCGACGGCAATGTAGCCTGGCTGGGAATAGGTGGAAAGCTGCCGAGGACGTGTTGCCAATCTTCATCCGGATTCTCAATGGCTATCTCAATGCTTTGAACATCGGGGTCTATCCCGTCGGTGTCAATGTCCGCATGTCGACTGTCTACCATTTCCGGCCGCACCTGCACGTCTGCGTCCCAGTCGGTATCTGGAAGGGACTGCAAGTCTGGAGTTACTGGCTCGCTGCTATTGGAGACCTGGTCCGAAGATACACTGCCATCCAAAGAGGGAGGCGCATTCAGAGCCGGTACTGTTCTCGCAAGCATGGACAGAGCAGCAGGTGAGACTGGTATCTTCGGCGGCGGCGTTGGAGGAACTGGAGAACTCTTTGGCGCATTGTGTAGCGAGGGCCACGTGGTTGATGAGGGTATTGTGAGGCTGGGGTACCGATTCCGATTCAGTGGCGAAGTAATTGAATTCCTTGTAGTGGGAGTTGTGAGGCTCGTCGGTCGGGAGCTTGAGAATGAAGTGCACTCGTCGCTCAACTCGGAGTCCTCATCCGTAACATCATACAGATCATCCAAGCTCTGCATCTGCCGCTGCCATTCCGTGTCCGAGCAAGATGACATCGTGCCGGCTGATAACGGCGAGCGAAGACGATTCAGCCTAGAGAGGGAAAGGCTAGAAAGACCGGCGGTCATGAGCTTCAGCTGCGGAGCTGAGGTGATCGAATGAAACCCAACACCATTGTTCTCAACTTTGTCCGAGTCCGGACCCTCGCTTACTTCCTCGATTATGGTATTAAGTTTCGTCCCTCGGACCTGCCGAGAGGGCGGACATCTCGATGAAGTCCGAGAAGCGTCAGCCATCTTGTGCTGCGGTATTGACTGTTGTTTCCGCTATTAGATTTAACTCCTCCGTTCAATGATTATAATCCGCGGAAATGAGAGAAATCAATCGGTACTTCTAGGGTATCTCAATCACAGGCGACACCGATCAACGGGTCTGCCAGTATTAATAAATCAAGGGACGATGTCAACGAATGGAGCCCAAGCTTCCAGAGCTCAAGGCACGATCACAACACGCAGAAAAGAAGAAGAGAACAGCACGACTGAGGACTAGCTGCAGAACATGAGGTTGTAGCGAACGACGCTGATAAATAGAGCCACATACCCAGAGGCAGGCGCGGGGATCTGAGGATCTCATCATCATTTCACACCAGCAACATTCGTGCAGAAACTACTGCACCATCGCGCACCTTGGGACGGGGTATCCTTGAGAAAGGCTTGGTAGAAGTACCACTATTGGTGGTTGTGTAGCAGGCGCGTCGCCGATAATAACAGGCCAGGCATCTTAGACCGAATTAGGGAGGTTCTCGGAGCTATTGAACCTTGAATACACCAATCAAGATGAGGTTGAAGTTCAAGTGGTCTGCAACGAAGCGCTCAGGGTGAACTTGCATATTGTTCACATGAGGAAGGGCACTGATTGGTGAGACGCAAGCGCCGAGTGGCTATGTTTAGAAGGCTTCGAGCAGACAGACAGGCAGAGTGATGACTCAACAATCAAAGATGGGAATTGTTCCTTGATATTAATTCCTTATGTTCCTTTCCCCTCACCATAGTCTGAAAAGGGCGGTTAATTTCGGAGCCATTAAGTGGTCACCTCTTGGAGAACCAGCAGAGACCCCAAGAAGACAACAACAATACCAGGTCATTGGGCCATAATCCTATTGAGGATCCAATGACTGATGAGAATTATCGATTCCGAGATTAAATGGCAGTCGACGATGCACCATGATCCTTCCCCGTGATCATTTGTTGATATGGTTACTTCTCAACCCCGGTTCAGGCATCCAGGCTGGCAGGGCCCCACGGACGGATCTACCCCACGTCCCACGTGAAAGTCACGGCCCTAGCCCTTATCGGCGACCAGATTGCCGTCGTCGGACTGACGTCGACCGGCAGCGGGAGCGGCGGTGATATCAACGCTGCTTATGTTATTTTTCCCTTCTTGTTTAGCTAGCTAGGACTGTATCTTTCCAGAAAGCTCTCCCTGCTAAAGATTACTCTGTACAGCTCTACTCCTACCTCCAATTTCCTCATATCCTGCTACTACTACATCTCCCTTTCTCAGCTGCTCAGTCTCAACTACTTCTACAAGCCCCTCTATCACTTACCCCACCATGTCTCCTCCAGCGATCATAGCTCCCTCCATCCTGAGCGCGGACTTTGCAGTCCTGGGCAATGAGTGCTCAACGAAGATCGCGCAGGGGGCCGATTGGTTGCACGTTGATATCATGGACGGCCACTTCGTTCCCAACATGACCTTTGGCGCCCCCGTTGTCACCAAGATCCGGTCCCATGTGGATCGCCCAACCCAGGCCCTTGGAAAGGGTACCTTTGACTGCCACATGATGATCATGGAGGTGAGCGCGCATCCCTCACAACGAACTCTATATCAACGTTTTCAATCTCCCTAGAGGAACCTGCTGACATGACCCTACAGCCACATAAATGGGTCAAGGAGTTCAAATCCGCCGGATGCGATCTATACTGCTTCCACTACGAGGCCGCCATCTCCTCCGTCGCTGCTACGACCCCAGAAGACAAGGAGACCACCCGTCCGACAAGCCCGAAGGAACTCATCCGCTATATCCACGACCAGGGCATGCAGGCGGGCATTGCCATCAAGCCCGATACCCCCGTCGACGTCCTGTGGGATATCCTGGAAAACAAGGATGGGAACGAACGGCCTGATGTAAGCTTCCGCGGACTACCCTTGTGCGCTACGCATAGGTTACTGGATATCATACTAACGAGTCACTGTTGCTGTAGATGGTCCTCGTCATGACAGTACACCCCGGTTTTGGAGGTCAGAAGTTCATGGCCTCCGAGCTACCCAAGGTGAAGGCTCTCCGTGAACGGTACCCGGATCTGAACATCGAGGTCGATGGTGGATTGGGCTTGGGAACCATTGACCAGGCTGCTGATGCTGGTGCCAATGTTATCGTCGCTGGTTCGGCGGTGTTTGGCGCTCAGGATCCCGCCGACGTCATTGCGAAGCTGCGCGAAGCTGTTAACAAACGCCGCCAGACATAAACATATACCATTATATAGAATGATCATAATTTTTTATTTTCAAAATTGTTACATTCTCTAGCTACAGTGTGCCAATTTCGATGTGATCTGGGCGCAGTGGTCGGGCTGCGAAAAAAGCCAGTAAACTCAGCATAAGGTAATCTAAATCTGAAGCATCAATGGTTGTTATCACGCGTTATGAGACAGACAGCGAGTAAGAAATGCAACTTGGTATCATACACGAAGGAATCACGCAAGGAAAATTCTTTGAAGGTTGAAGCAGTTCGAAGAGACTGTTACCATGCCCTAATCATCAATGGTCACTGTCGCCTTAGATGCATCCTTAATATCCTGTTTCTGGGTTTCCTTGCCATGACTCTCATCAGCCTTGTCATCCTCGCCGTCTGACTCTTCCACGATTGTCTCGTCCTGTCCAGCCCGCTCCGCATGTTCGTTCTTCAAAGCCGCTAATATTTCTTCATGACCGCCAGATATTGATTTGCGCAAGTCCTGAGCCACCTTCTCCATCTCCTCCGGAGAAGTCGCGGAGACAATGGAGCCGCGGTGATGTTGAACCAATCCTAGAGCTTCAGCATTATCAGCACGGAAATTGGCAGATGATTCTGCGGCGCACTCGGGCACCCTCAAAGGTGGACGCCCCCCAACGCCCCCGACAATTTCCGCAGGAACCACCGATCGCCGACGTACAGTTTCTTCTCCTCCTTTGTTCTCCCCGCTGCTCGAGGACTGCTCTTTCTGCTGTTCAGAGCCTGCGGAGGTGGTGTCCTTGACTTCTGCGCCCATGTTGCCTTTGGCCTTTGCCGCAGCCTCCTCGCCCGCCTGTCGCAAGGCCAGCGTCACTGAATCATCCTTCTTCTCCTTCGCCGGCGGGCTCTGAATTTTGATTGTGCTTTGCTTCGGGGTTGCACTCTGTGCTGGAGGCTGTGGGGTAGCAGGGGTGGTAGATCCAGTGTTCGTCTGGGAGGTAGAGACAGGGTAGCTGGTGGCAGGGATGCTGTCGAAATCTTCCACGCTATCAATGTGCATCCTCAGCTCACCGTACTCATTCCACTCCTCGATGTCCTCTAGATCCTACATGAGCGAAACTATTAGTCGCGTAGCTCCGTCGATAGCTGTGTCTCCCTTCATCAGGGGGTATCGGAATGACCTACACCGACAACAGTGCCAAACTTCACCAGTCCAGGCAACTTTTTGCCCTTGGAACGACGGCCCCACAGTTTACGAGCGGCCTCATCAGTAGCCACGTCAATTGCGCGAAAGGGAATTTTGTTGGCCTTCAAAATCGTCTCCAACCGTGCAGTGGCGGTGACAATGTGGGATGACCCCGCAGTGAGAGAGGTGTAGAGATAGAGAGTAGAGTCGGACATGTTGAGGTCGCAACGTGTAAGAGAGAGGGGGGAAAGTGACGATGACACGAAAGAAGATGTTGAGAATTTGGTATTTGTTGGTATCGAAGCGAAATATTCCTCCTCCTTTTCGCCAGGAATTCGTTATCTCCTTTTCAGAAGCGGAGCGGAAAAGGGCCTATGACGTGGCTGGAGCCCGCAACGCCCTTAATATAATCACGTGTCTCTGTGTTGTTTGCAAATGCGACAGCTGATGCTCAAGTGAGGTTAAATCGTAATTACCATCAGAATTATCCCAGCTGGTGATAAATGAAGGAATGATGATCAGAAAGAAAGAGTGATGGTTCTCTTAAATATTGCCTGCGAAGGACCCAAGCTGCTGCTATCCGTAGTTCCCTCCCGAGTTAATCTCCAGCGGAAACTGCGATTGTATGGGAGACCCAAACTTAAGGCGTGGCGATCTGACGTCAGGCAGATAGTTCCACCCATTTCCAGCATGATGGACGTCTTGGTTTCTATCCTTGGATTGCTTTTTCTGGTATACCTTACAAGTCGCTCGTGGTATTCATTGAAGGCGATTGTCTTAAAAGACAGGCACCCCCGTCCTAGTGGCCAACTGAGATCGGCCCGCCAGAAGTATATAATTTGACTTACATACCCCATATCATTCAAATGTCAACTCTGAATCCCATTTGGCCTTTTTGAAAATGAGTACTATTTTGTTTGCTACTTCGTGTCCCATTCCTAATAATTTGTTTTCGGGTACTATTGACGATCTATGTTGAGTTCCGAATGCCGTGACGAACTGGAGTGCTTTGTACAGGGAACTGGCCGCGGGCGAGTGCCCCATAGGTCCTACAATATGACGCAATCTATCTGATCCGCTATGGAGGACTGGGGATGCTGGAAGTTGTTATATTGACACTGCATGGGCATAACTCCTGTCAAAAATCGTTCACCGACGGCAGAGGGGCTTATGGAAATGTTATACAGTCGTAGGAGAGGTACTCCCCTGCACATAACACAAAGCACGAAAAAAGTCGACACCGTTAGCCACCAGATAAAATGGCAACCTTCTCCGCGTTGACCCTCCGAGATCCACTTCGCGGGGATTTGTATCCGCGAAGGATGCGTCGTCAGATAAGACTCCTCTGTATGGATGCTCAGTCATTTGTCCACCATGCGAAGCGATGATGGCAGAAGATATATCACAGGATCGAGGACATCTCTGAGCATCCCATCACGGCTATAAGGGCGAACGGTTATAAGGGCGAGTCGACAGTCCGGGGGTTTCTCATCCTAGACGAGTCTGACCAAGCCAACCCATGATGAAGTTGTAAATTTGACGTATCCACATAAAGACGAATTCGCAGATGTTTCAGATGACGACGAGTATTTGTATAGCCGAACGGAGGTACTTCACTCTGTACTGCCTGGGTCCCGAAAAAGAGATGACTTGATTTGAGCGTTGTCTGGGTGATTGGAATATCGCTGCAACCCAATGTCGGCCAATGAATGAAGAGTGCGAAAGAGTCTTAGCATGAACCGGTCGCGCAGTCCCGACAATGGAAAGACCACGGGTGCTTAGACAAAAACGCTACCGTCCCAAAAACGGAAATTTGTCAAAGCTCTACCTGTTCACTCAAGTCATAGCAAGACTTCAGGGAGAGTCGGAAACATCACAAACCGATTCTCCACAGGCCTGAGCGCAGAAGCCCGGACTCCTTAGCACGCTGTTACTTTGCATCACGCCCTGCTATTGCAAGGATGTTGTCTTAATGCTCAAGTCCTCGCCTAATTGCCTCTCAACCTTCAGTTAGACGCGTCATCGATAACACGGAAGCCTGAGCCTCACCAAGACGAGACGGGCTGAAGAGGTGTCTGTCGACACCTGACCCTGTAGATACCCATTGGGCAAACATGAAGAAATGGTGCCTTGCCACTTCTTATATGAAGGCGAGCTTTGCGACGAGGCCCAGAGCTGAGCCATATGTCAGCCTTCCAAATCTGTCTACCGACATAGCCTGCTAAGTCAAAGACGAACCTAGAAGGCAAAAGTTGACCAGTTCATCAGAAAACAGAAATCCTACACCCTATGTACTTCGCCGAAAGAAGATGGTGGTCAGATTGGAACAGCAGCATAACCCAAACTAGGCGAGAAACTCTAACTTATTGATATCATGTAGACGTGGAGGATTAGTTCCATGTTGTTGATGACCTGTTCAACCCTTGTACTTCGAGACCTTCAGGCAGAAAGGTCTAGTTCGGGCATTTGCCCTTGCACATGCTCGAGCTGGAGGCTTGCTGAGGCACTTTACAGCTCACGACATTATGAGCAAGGTCCGAGTTTGTTCTTTTGTCTAACCCAGTGTCCTGAGGTGGGATAAGGCTTTTCTCTTGTGAACATAATACTGAATTATCGCGTGCGCCCTGCTCAGTTGTTGATTTGAGAAAGATAAGTCATGAGCCCCTTGCCGCTGTGGCTTTGCCTCTCCATGTTTGCAAAGGTTTCTAGCAAAATGATCATTGTATGGGCATGCGCACATGAAACTGCTATGATTGATGATGAAAGTGGCCATAGAGTAAGTAGCCAAATGTGAAAGGGGATGCGATGGCCTACCGATTTCCGTCTACAAAGGATTTCTGATACATCGGTCTGATCTACGCCGGATGGTGGCCCCACTTGGCCAAGGAGGTCACGTCTGGTCCAATATACTGTGTACACAAGTTAAGCAAAGCCACCAGTGAAAGCAGGTAGAGAATAGCGTGACCGTCGAGCCTATTTTTGGCTATCTGTAGAGAGTAGGCGCTCCGTAGATACCCCTTGTTGATTGGGGATCCTTTTGTTCTAGTTACCAACACGGGGGAGTATGTACCAAGTAGCACCACTGTCAGCAACGAATTACAACGCTGTACTACTGACACCGTTCATACGACGCTCCCCCGATCATGACCGTTACGTAGCCGTCAGGCCGAATCAAGGCCCACGGTGACCTCATCTACCTGGCTCATGGCTTGGCTTTGTGCTCCATATTTGAGATCTGAAAGATGAAACGAAATTGCCCGTTAGCCGAAACAGTGTCCATCAGAAAAGGAGAAAGGCTTGTAGACCATACACCCACTTGAATAGCGGTGTCTGTGAGGACAGAAAGACGATCTCCTAGAGAACAGATAGTACTAAGAACTCGGCCAAGTATTGAAGTATCAAGCCCCTTTTGGCCGATTAGAGTAATTGCAGTAGGGTGTGGTTGTTGCAAAACATCTTCGAGAGAGCATACTAGTACGAAAACAGAAATATGGAGCCCGGAGACCTGGACAACAAACGGACCTGATCACGTGCAACACGTGAGACGTTCGCTGGTCAGCATCTCCACTGCAAACCTAGAATTGTCGGTCGGGCAATAGTGGCAGGATCGCCATCCGATGTGCCTGTTGAGAAAGAAGCGATAGATGAGACTTCGGAGCTCCAGGGACATCGTGAGTACTGAGCACATAGCCCGTAGTTTAGTAGGGAGTCTCCCAGGGAGTCCTTCGAAATGGTCCGAAGTTGGGGATGGCCACGCGTGGCCGGGCATATGACCCGTGGGAGCCTTCCGAATGGTACCACGGGAAAGTTCCGTGGTCGGAATTGGTTTATTTTCGCGATGGCTCAAGATGGCCTCTCACCGCAGCAAGGGAATGGGTGACGACAGGTATTCTACATGATGTGAACTAGGGTGCCGTTCAGGTTGATGCATTGCTGTGCCTTGCACACAAGGGTCATTTGGGCAGCCAGAACATTAATGCCTCAGGAACTAAATTCTCGTTTTAAGTCAATTTTCGCATCGTTGCTATCTTAGTCCTTCCGAGGAACAACACTTCGCCATACCGCTACTGGCCTGACTCCAAGCGCTCAAAATACTCAGGGTATGAATACCATGTCTGACCATCGGCTAGAGCGTCATCTGGACGCGGAGTTGGCCTAAGACGCCCGGCGACTGGCAGCAGGATAATGACGGATCCCGATACGGTGTAGGCTAGCGACGTGGCAGACCTCGAGTCGAAGGGTACAATCAAGTCACTTCCGGCTGGTCTGCAAACTGTGGCAGTACTACGTGCTCGAAAGGTTGCTGACACTGCTGAGCCCAACTACGCTGGCTTGGAGGGTGGCCATGGAAAAGACTTACCCAAAGGCTCTGCGATACTTTGCGATCTCGTTGGTACCGCTGTAGGCGCGCTCAGGGGACGATGGAAGTATTTCCAGCCAAAATGGCTATCCGCTGAAGGGAATAGCCAGAAAGAATCATGAAGGGGATATAACACACTTTCTTCATCATCATCTATTAACACTTTGACAAGGCACATGAATCGAAGACTACACAAAATGTATCTACAAGTAATCCTGGCCACTACAACAACAACAAATCTTGCTGGTCTTTTGGTGTTCTCAAGACACCATAATAGTGATGAGAACCGATCACACTGATGATAGTAGCAGTGAATGTCTCCTGTCGTATTTCTTCATTTCAAGGACTGATTTTTAAGAGTTGGAGGAGTGGACAATAGTCCGTAATGCATCCTGTTTCCTTTCCTGCTGTCCTGGTGGCCCGGGGTTTGGTCGGCGCAATCCGTTTGGCTGCCTCACTTTTGAAAGACACCATGTTCACCCTGTATTTTTCGAGGATAATATTTTCTGACCACTGTCATCACCGCCTGGGTCTTTCAAGATAGTTTAGACACTCTAAGCCCAAAAGGGACTTCATCATTCCACTGCGGACAACTGGAGCTTTCTTTTTCTGGGTCCCTGCGCTTTGGACGTTGGCCAGTTAGCAGCGATCAGGTACTGCTAGTTTACCTAGCAGGTCACACTCCCCTTTTCCGCCGATCGAGGACGGGACAATTCACACTCCGTGTCTGTAGTACTCCGTACTCCATCCTAGATCCTGAATCCATTCGACCTGAACTAGACCAAGTAAGTTAGTGCCTTGGGCTCTTGGGTACCTTGCCCTGACAAAGTAGCGATCAACTATCAACTAACTATAGTTAGGAGCTGAGCTTTCCTTCTTCTGTAACTCCCAGGCTTACCTTATCCACCTTTAGATGGCGTCCTGCTCATCAGTTGGCTTGGACGAATTGATGTGACGTGACGACGTCAAACCGATATCCGCATAATAATTTGGAAAATAATCAGAAAAAGGCAAAAAAAAAAAAAAAAAAAAAAAACAAAAAAAGAAACATTTGGCTTCTTCTCTAACCCAATCGTATGAAGCCAAAGAAGCCAGAAGTGTTCCAGACCTTCGATTCTGCCAGAAGTTCGTGGACTTCATCGTCAATCTCCATCGACGATTGCCTCTGATCCACCGACCCATGATCCGTATGATCTATCACCCAAGTAGGTATCGTAGCTTGCTCCTTAGTAGGGAGTAGTAGCAGTAGTCCATAATACCAACCAACTAACTAGGTACCTATCTATTCATTATTGTTCTAGTAGGCTCTTTAGTCAGTTATCTCGAAATAAATCTAGATAAACCATCTATCTAATTACTCCATCCCATCCTACCCAGTTTGAGCTAGGATCCCCACCCTGGTCGCTCCCCAAGTTTCAACTTCCAGATTCAGACCTTCTCTTCTGACAGATCTTCCGTCCCTTTTGTCTTTTCAGAAGATTCCATTACTGGACCTCCGAGCCGTGGGGATAGTTCGCATCAATCGATCTTACCCTCCCATTTCTGTTTCTCATTTAAGTTCCATCCCTCCGCTTCGCCATCTTCTCTCAGTCAAAACACTCAATACTCTTCTTTCATCTTGGCGATAACCATCCCCGACTCAGTCCTTGTATACATCTCGAGCACTCTCGCATCTTTGGCAATCCATTCTTGTCTTCTCTTCGTCACAGCCACTGATCCCTCATCGTCGCGCCTGGACACCGTATTCCCTGTTCGTAGCCTTTGTCTATCTATCAGTACATTCAGCCTTCCCTACTTTCCCGAACCCCGTCAAGCGTCTGCTCTATCCCGTTCACATTTCACAGTGCTCATTCTTTGTTTTATTTGTGGTGCTAATTGTTTTATAATATAGAATACTTCTCTCTTCCTCAATCTTGTGTGATACTGATAGCAGCTATCCCCCCATGAGCTCTATTGGAGAGGCGCTTGCAAAGGACCATCCCCCTGCGATGGCAGTCACCATGGCCGACGACGAACTCTTCACAAGGGCCATCTCTGGGTATCGGGACGCTTTTTTGGATCGACACTCTCACCTTCCGGAATCAGAGCGCAATCATCTTTGGAGTCAGCGGTTGAGCCAGTTCTTACCGGCAACGGCGTCATCCAGTTACCGTCCAGTTCCCGGCTCTGGCATCCCTGACACTGGTTCACCTCTCGAGAAATCTGGGAAACGGACTCGGCAGGATACTCCTCGGACTCTCCCTGGTTCTGGTCTTCCTCCGACAAAACGACGAGTCACCGTATGTGATCTATCTTGGTCTCCTGCTCCCGCCTCTTCTCCACCTTCCGTTCATAACCCACCATGTTTCTCTTGCGCTACTCCACCCTCTTTCTCTTGACTCCCCCGCCGGCAGTCCATGGATTGACACTTGGCAGACACCGGAGCCACCAGTGACCGTTGACCTGACTCGTGAGCTTTCTCACGTGTCTTCGCCAGCGGCTCCCGAAACCGATCTGAAATCTACTGGAATGGCTTCTCGGACGGACGACTTCTCCCTCCCTCCATCGGTTACTGGGTCCTCTGTCCGGCACACAGCCATGGTCAGATCGCAGAGTCAGCAGACTCCGGTCTCTCACCGAAAACCGCCGGCCTCAGCTGTTTTGGGACATCGGCAATCCTACGGACCTCAGCATTCGCAGATTCGACTTGACTATGTCAACGAATATTCGCCGTCCGAGTATGCTAGGCAGTGCTTGGACGACTTTCAGGACCGGTCAAACGTATCTACGCTGTCGCTGGCCCTTTCTGCGGATCCTGCTTCGAATGGACTCCAGCATCAACTGCAAGCATCAATACCGGAGTTTCCGACAGACCCTGCTGATTTGTCCAATCAATCTCTGGCTAATCAACCGGCGCCACTGGCATCAGCAGCAGTTGAGATGACCAGGAGTACTACTACCGACTCCATATGTGGTGGATTGGGCATGATCAGATTTGACTCCACCGGACCAAATCTAAACCCCAGCTACACTTTCTCCATGCCTTCTACTGAATTCATGCCCTCTGTTTCCCCTATTAATGTTCCAATCCATGACTACTCAAGTCAACAAGCCTTGCAGCCCGTCACCTTTCCGTTCACTGACTCTACTCCTCTTCCATTTTCCTGCTCAGCACCCTCCTCAACTTCATTCTACCCCCCTCCCTCTTCAAATGTGCTAGAAACCCCTGCTACAGAGATGAAGCCTTCCATGTCTGCTGAAAGCAACAGTTCCGCTGCCTCGCAGCAGTCAAGAGCGGCGCGAAGGGCTCAAGAACAAATTGTGCAAGGTACGCGACCTATCGCACCGAAACTTGAGTCGCCCAATACCTCTCCAGCGAAGCTGGTGGAGCAGCACAAGATGATTCGTATCTCATCGTCCGACGGCACTTCGAAAGAAGTTGCGGCCATCCCTAAGGCCTCGATACAACGGCCTCCGCGCCCGAAAACGTACTGCCACATGTGCAATGACCAGCCAGATGGCTTCCACGGGGAGCACGAGCTGCGGAGACACATTGAACGGGTGCACTCAGTGGTCCGTAAGGTTTGGGTCTGTGTGGATATATCTCCAGGCAAGACCTTCCTGGCCAACTGCAAGGCTTGTCGGAATGGGAAACGGTATGGTGCTAATTACAACGCCGCTGCCCATCTCCGTCGTACTCACTTCAACCCGTGCCAACGCGGACGGGGAGGACGTGGGAAAGACAGTGAGAAGCGAGGTGGTAAGGGTGGCGGCAATCACCCGCCGATGGAAGTACTGAAGCACTGGATGGTGCAGCAAGAGGAATTTGTTCTTGAGAATGCCCAGACTGCTGTTGACCAGGACACAGCAGGGGAAGATCTGGCTACTGTGCCACTGTCAGTATCTACGGATGAGGTGGTCTTCAACGGGTTGCCTTCGGCACCAGCTGACGGCCACGCTCAAGTAGGTATGGAGGCCAATATGGCCCACGGGTACGACGGCTATTCTGACCTCCACACGATGACTGTGGGCCCGTCTCTGGAGACGGCGTGTTATTTCGATTCTCAGACTCTGCCGCCCGAGATCGACTCGTATGTATGATGATGACCTGTAATGACCTTGGTCTTTCCTTCAATTCTTCATTCATCATTTCGATTTTGGTAACCATCATGATGACTTTCCTATTTTCATGTGATCTTACACATTGATTTGATCTCAATTTCTCTTCACAGCTGTATATCTCATCTTCAGCTCTACGTTCCTCTATACAGGTCTCCCAGTTCGGAGTGATGAATGAGCTCGAGCCATCTTGCTCCACCACATACTACTAATGTACAAATTCTTTTTAAGTTCTGTATTAACAAGTAAACGCGCAGTCTAATACAAATTATGGTCAATTTTTTGGAAAATATGACCAAGCCGATACCCTACTGTTGAAAGTTGTTAGTCTGGCATTGGCTTAGGCAGACAGTCATGGATTGACTATCTGGAATATCGTACCCGGACGGCTGAGGCGGACAGGATGACACTTCCCATGCTAGCAATTTCTCATGTGCTTTTATTTACTTGTACGAGATTCAATGCCAGTGCTATTTTGACAGGTTCATTCTACCAATATACTTCTATCCTTACATTTCTCAGGCTCGGTCTTATCCTGTCGATGCAAATTTGAAATCCAAAAACCCATATCAATACTTCAATTGGCGTTCAGACGCTCATGACTCCAAAACTAATCCCAGTGATGGGACCGTTACTGACACCAATCTGGAGGCCAGAGTTCTGATTCCCAAACATCACACGCGTCGAATTATTCTCGTTCCTCGCCATAACATTCACAATAGTACTCTCCTGCACTTTCGTCCGGAGCTCATTGAGCAGTCTCCGAGATATATATAGTGCTTTGTGTTCTTCGTCCATCTGTCTCAGCATGCCTGTTTGAAGATCCACACCTTTGCTCGATCGAGCCGCGATAATCTCCCATCTTGAGAGCGACCTGTCCGACGCTGGAGGTCGGAGCGGAATATCTCGCATGCTTTAGTGCAGGTTGCGATGGTGGCTTTTACTTCATCTGCAACGGTTGCCCCGAGGGACTCCCATTTTTGTTCAGAAATAGCTTGGAGAGAGGCCAGGGCCAATTCAATGGCCCGGATGTCGTCTTTTAGATTACCGATGGTTTCAGGTGCGTCTCTGATGCTCTGTAAGTCGTGTAGGAGAAGTCTGAGACCCTGGAGGGCGGGAGCGCCGATGCTGACAATGCCTGCGGTATACGAAAAGGATCCACCATCATACATGACAAGAGCATTGCTCGATGGCCGAGGAGAAACTGCGTCAACGATCTCGCGGAAACATAAGGCCATATAGCATACACCATAGGCGCTACGTTACTGCGGGGTCTACAGGGGTACATGAGGCTGGCGCTTATAGGATCAGTATATTTCCAAGCACCGCAATGTTCATGTCCTCGTCGTCATGCAACAATCATTATGGAACATACGATATCTTTTGCAGAACGAAACGCTGGACTCCAAGTGGGAGTGAGCAATGCTTCCATCTCTGCAAACTTCTATTCCCAGCAACCCGTTAAGTCGTGCATCGAACAGGACCAGGCTTCGCTAATGATGTCTGGTTCAGAAAGACCCGAGACACCGCCGTGTCCATTATCTACTGTTCCCTTTCGTCGCGACCCATACTTTGTTGAACACGGGACACTATTTGACCTGATCCGCGAAAAATGTTTGGCACCGGCATCTAGAATCGCACTGGTGGGCCTCGGCGGCGTGAGGTGAGAAGAGTACACCCAAAAAAGGACTATACAATTGTTGACTTCTGAAAGGAAGTCGCAGCTTGCTATCGATACTCTCATAGAGTCCGGGAACACTCCCCAGAAACGTGGGTTTTTTTGGATCCATGCTAGCAACATCGCTCGTTTCGAGCAGGGTTTTCGGGAGATTGCAGACCGAGTGAAAATCGCTGGGCGGCAGGATCCCGAGGCCAATATATATCAGCTTGTTCATGAGTTGGTCGCAGGATGGTCGAAAGGGAAGATGGGTCCTGATTCTTGATAATGTTGATGATGATCACTTCCTTCGTCGAGCGCCGTTCATCAGTCAGAATTCAACTGAGGGAGACACAAATCGCTCGCTGGACCGGCCATTATGGGCATATCTCCATCAGAGTACGCATGGATCCTTGATGATAACTACGCGAAATAGAGCCGTGGCGCTCGGAATAGTCGAAGAACGCGACATCATCACCGTGCACCCGATGGATGGAAACCACGCCCAGACACTTTTCGAGGCGAAGCTTGGGATACCGGAAAACTCGAAGGGCATTATGAAGCTGACAGCGGCACTTGAGTACATGCCACTTGCAATCGTCCAGGCAGCATCCTACATCAGGCAGAGAGCTCCCCGTTCTTCAGTGAAGCAATACCTTCAACAGTTTGAAAGCAGCGACAGTAGAAAGCTGAGCCTCCTTGAGCATGAGGATGTGCACTACGGCGAGACTGGGGGGCCAGAAATTCTATTATTCGCACTTGGCAAATATCATTCGATCACGTCCTTCAGGAACGGCCATCAGCCGCAAATCTCCTGGCATTGATGAGCTTCTTTGACCGGCAAGGAATACATCAGTGTCTGCTCCAAGATTTCAGTCATGTAAAAACAAGCAATTCCGACCAGGAAAGACACCCAGATGCAGCTGATAGCCACAAGATAGACAACACAGACAGCCTGGTCCAATCTAATGTGGACGACAGTTTCGAGGATGATATCCGCACACTAAGGAACTTCTCATTCATCACGGTGAACGCGGATTCTGCAAGCTTCCGAATGCATCGGTTAGTGCAGCTCGCCATGCAAAAATGGCTTGAGGCACATGGTCAGCTCAAAAGGTGGAAGCTAAATTTTATCAGAAGCCTTGCCAGAGAGTTCCCACCAGGAGAATTCGAGGACTGGGCAAAGTGTCAGCTACTCTATCCACACACCAAACAAGCGATGCTTGAGCAGCTGGATACAGAGGATTCACTGGCTCTATTGTTACACAAAGCAGCAATATATGCCTGGAGAAAAGGCGACCTTAACGGGGCGGAAGATATGGCAGTTAAAGCGTTGAAAACAAGAGAAACCCTCTCTGGTAAGGAGAGCTTCGAAACACTCAATAACATCAATTTACTGGGTCTGGTTCTGGACGACCAAGGAAAGTATGACGAGGCATTAGTCATGCATCGACAGGCAGTAGCAGGTTTTAAGAAGCTGCTAGGGACTGATCACCACTGTTCACTCGTGAGCCTGAACAACTTGGGCTTAGTGCTGAGGAGCCGCGGGGAACATGAAGAGGCAGAGACAATGCTTAGGAAAGCCTTAGCAGGCTCTGAGAAGATATTAGGGCTTGATCACCCCACCACACTTATGTGTATTGGGAACCTAGGGACAGTACTCACACTCCGGGGCAAATATTTGGAGGCGGAGATATTGTATCGGGAGGCATTGTCAGGATTTGCAAAGAGCTGCGGAGATGACCATACCAGTACCCTGACCAGTGTCCATAAACTGGCCCTGGTAGTGAAGCTTCAGAGACGGTTCGAGGAGGCTGAAATGTTGTATCGAAGGGCCCTAGCAGGATACGAAAGATGGCCGGGATCGACCATCCCGACATGCTAATGACTACCAGCGAACTAGGCTCGGTGCTCGGGTACCAGGGAAAGTACCAGAAGGCGGAAGTGATGAATCGACAGGTGCTAGCAAGCTATGAGAAGGGGCTGAGGGCCAACCATCCAATGAAGTTGGCAGCCATGAACAACCTAGCCTCTGCACTCATGGGGTAAGGGAAATATGAGGAAGCCGAGGGACTACTTCAGCAGATACTAACAGGCAGTCAAGAAGTGTTTGGGGCCGACCATCCTGGCATCTTGACATCCGTTGACAACCTGGGCTTTTGCGCTCGCTGGCCTTGGGAAATATAAGGATGCTGAGACAATGTATCAACGAGCATTGGCAATGAGAGAGAAATTCCTAGGAGCGGAACATCCTGACACGCTGGTGTCCATGAGGCATCTCTCCGATAACTGTAAGAGACAAGGCCGAGACATTGAAGCAATAGAACTCCTTCAACGGGTTGTTCGGCTCCAATGTCAGTCTCTGGGTGCAGAACACCCGCAAACTAGATCTTCTATGATTGAGCTGAACAAACGGAGGGTATTCTGCGGTAGTTCCTTCTTATTTGCTCTACCGCGACCTCGCTTCTGACACACTACAGAAAAAGCATAATCGAAGTCAGATTACGAAGAGGCCAACAAAGGATGCGTCTTGTGCTAGCAAATGTTTGGTTTAATGATTAAAGGATCGCCGATTGATTGAAGTGTGACGATATGGTTACTTCTATTGACCTGGTCGCATTCCTCCTCGAATATCTTCAGGTCTTCCCAATTAGGCAATAGGGAGCATTTTCGATATTGGCGACAATGGATCGTCCACATAGGCGGCTGCGTCCCGATATGTTGCCGTGTGACTTGTGTGAACCAGGGTGAATTCATGGTGAGGGTACCAAGGTACTTCGTGCTCCGTACTAGTCAATAATCGAGTCTGTAGGTAACTCCGTATTTAGGCAGCAACAAGACATGTTCCACTTTAATTGGCGAATTGGGATGGTGAGTCTGGTGACAGAGTGGCTCGGTTGGACACCAGCCACGAGGGCCACCTTAATCTCAAGAAAAGCCAGCGACTATTGGTTGATTTGGTGATAGTTCAAACTTGCAAAGCAGATAGTCTGTCAGATCATATATTTCATTGGATATAGTTTCATGATCATGTTTAGCTGAAGCCACTAAGAGCTGTTCTAGTGGCACACCAGCACGATCAAGCAGCGCCGGTGGCCGGTTGTGGGCTACGGACAGCCAATCAGTCTGGCAGGTGAGAGATTTTTGATCAACCATGACCTCATTTCCGAAGGCCGGCCGTGGCTTAGTTTTTGTTGTAGACAGTAGGGCTGTGACCGGGCTGGTATTATTAGGAATATTGCTGTGGCTCAGCTCACAAACAACTGCTGTCGTTTCGAATTCATAATTGGTATCCGTACCTTGTAAATTAAGGATTTGATAACAACAAACTGTATGTTTAGGCATGAAAAAGCGGATTCTCTGAGGAGGGTTTAGGCATCCTTGTTACCAGAACCACGATTGAAGGGGTTACCAGTAGATGGCTCGTGGGAAGCGACCCAGTTCCGCGGTCCGGAACAAAAGAATCGGGCGATTCGGCGTCAATTTTCTAGACTCATCTTGATGAGTGGTTTGAAAGGTCTCATGAATTGTGGAAGGATTCAGAAAGAGAGCTAATAATAAATACCCATTGGGTTGTCAAACTTGTCATCTGGAGGCACTTGGCCCGAATCTTAGCTTGGCTAGCTCCCTCTGATCCCTTCTCCTCTTTCTCCGCTTCTTTCGTCCCTTTTCAGTTTTCAAACTCCCCAGCCACTGTTTGAGCCCTCATCTTCTCCTCTTATTTGACCCCTTTCCCATCCCCTTATTACCTATCCTCGAACCGTTGGCACTTGGCATTTGCTTAGGTACGCTTTCTCACTCGTTATTGGCTCCCCGTTGCGTAGATTCTCTTCTCGAATCGATCGAGTTATTCTCCTCTCGGTCCGCCATTTTGATTTTTATTGTCCATACTGACTGTTCCACTCTCTCAACGTTATAGCACATTCTCTATCGCCATCATGAGTTCCCAGGACTACTACAACCAAGGCCATCAGCCTCAGTAAGTGATGTTGGACCTATTTGCGTCTATCCTTCCCCGCCTCCTATGATCCTTTTCGGTCATTCTTTTCCGGCTTGGTGTTTCGAACTTCGCTGCGCCTTTCCTTCTTGGACTCTATCGGAGGCAGTCAAGATGCGCTTTGCGTGGAACCATCCGGTGTCATTATGCCTCTTGTTCATCGAAGGAATCGCTGCTGAAGGGAGCGCTTGAGCAATTAGCGGCAGGGAAGAACGAAGACAAAGCGATTTCATTCTCTTGTTGTGCTTGGATTTTGCGCTTGAAGATGGTGTCTAATCTGTTTTTTGTGGATATAGTTACCCCCAACAACCTCCCCAAGGTTATTACCCCCCTCAACAGGGACAATACCCGCCAGGCTATCCTCCTCAACAGCCGCAAGGCTATGCTCCACCGCAGCAGCCGTATCAACCTCCAGTACGTTACAACAACACAAAGTCGCATGACTACGGAGAATAAAGGACTAATAGACTCGGCAGCAGCAAATGCCGTACCAAGAACAGCCTCGTCAGAAGAAGGACCGTGGATGTCTTGGTGCTTGGTAAGCTCTACTCGTTTTCCTCCCTTGATCTGAATCGCGTGGATATGATGTTTGCGTATCAGTTGCTAACGCTGCTCTTCTCTCCGCTAGTCTTGCCACCCTCTGCTGCTGCTTCCTTTGCGAAGAGACCTGCGAGTGCTGCTTTGATTGCATCGAATGCTGCGAAATGTGCTAAGCCTCACGATCGGTTACGTCGATAATATCCCCAAATCGCGTGCCGCTGGAACTGTAGACACGCCGGGAGAGATACCCTCCCTGTTCATACACTCATCCGGTCCTTCTATCTATTACGATTCTATACCTGGGATGTCCTGCTCGGTGGTTTTTGTTTCTATAAATTTTTGTGTATGCCGCTTGTTTTGTTCATGAAATACGACTTTCGAGGAATAGGTTCTTGCAAATGAGGATACCGTTCCCATTCCTTTAGTACTACGCAGTTTATAATCCGACTTTGATTTTGAGATATTTTCTCGGACCCGCGCCACTGTAACGATCAAATGTGACAGCAGGCCGGTCTTTCCTCGCGCGTGAGCAGGACATCTTGAATGGCTAGGGCTGACTCTTGGCGTTGTCATATGGTGGCTACAGCCGCATCATACGATACGTAGCGAATCAATGGGCTCCAGAGGTCAAATCCAAAGCGAAGCTCGCCAAAGAGCGATCTGTGTAGGTCATCTGTTCGAACCACGTTAGACAAATCCGGTGGGACAGCTCATTACTGTAGTGAGCTTGATCTTGTAGGCATAATTGTGCTGATAGCTTGCCAAGACAGCATCAAGCATAGTAAAACAGAGAAAGGGAACCAAGCGGCGGGGGCCATTAGTTGTGCTTTGGTCTCTTTTCGCCTTCCTTGAGACATCCTTGGTCAAGCACTGTATACATTGTACACACAGGCCATCAATAAGGTCACGCCGCTCAGACTGATCAGAGCATGAAGCTCTGACTCTCAGGACACGAAGCTAAACTATTATCAATACCTCAGAGGCCTCTTTATGAACTTAACCGCCACAAATCAATTGAAATGCGAGGGGCTTCTGGGGGCTTCGGACGGAGAAATGGAGTCCGTCAACCCCACATCTAATCTCCTCATTTTCTCATGCATTGCTCATATTCAGACTAACCATCATGTAAACACGCAGTCTCCGGTATTTCTCCAGGCTATAGCACCACATATTTAGCTCTTGATTCTTGTCTCGCACGTTCCATGGCAAGCAAACTGGGCCGTCCATGCGGGGAACTTCCGTCTGGGTCTTTGCCTAAACTCCTCCCTTGGTCAACGACAATTTAGACTACTGGCGATGACGAGAGTTTATTTTCTTGCCAATACTCAGCCACGGCTCTTGTTTACATGAAGTATTGGGCATAAGTCAAATGGGACTCTCCTCGATGTTCGAGCAATTCACGTCTTTGCTGAATCCTCTCAGAGATACTGACTGGACCACTTGGCAGTCTGCGACGTATCTACGTCCTCGAGATGATTGAGCATCCGATCATGCAACCCGGCTAATTGCCGCTACGGACTTGGAAATGCCCTGACGATCACCCTTGTCCCCCTCATGGGATTTTGCCAGAAGGGGAAGCTTGAAAACAGTCGCTTGCAGGCCTCTCGTTCTCGTCCCTTGCAAACCATGCAAGCTTTAATTAGACAGAACCTTTCTACAGATTAACCCCGCAGACACAGCTTCAATTGAGGGGTAGAATTACGCTTCAGCAAGGAGACATCCTTCCCTGGCCCGCCGTGGACGCATATATAATGTCACTACGATCTGCAGGATCTGCCTCGGAACCCTGCCAATTGACCAGGTATAGGACCTGCAGAGAACTACCATAGCGTGTCTTCCTGCAGCGCGGAATACCATGCTGTTGTCCAAATCTCTTCTCCTGCCGCTTCTGGCAGCGTGCACTGCCGCCGTTGAGATTTCCGTTGCGTCGTCCGGCGGCAATGTCACGACTAACTTGCAGTACGGTATCATGGAAGAGGTGAGTCCTCATTGAGTATTTAGTAAGTCGCACACAGAGATGCTAATGACTATGCAGGAAATCAACCACTGCGGTGAAGGTGGTCTCTATGCGGAGTTGATTCGCAATCGTGCGTTCCAGGGAAGTTCCAAGTACCCGTCTAACTTGGACGCTTGGACCTCTGTCAACGGAGCTACGCTGTCCCTCAAGAACCTCAGTGATCCTCTGTCATCTGCGTTGCCCACTTCGGTCAACGTCAAGGGCAGCAAGGGCCAAGCTGGTCTCACTAACCTGGGCTGGTGGGGCATTGATGTCAGGCCCCAGAAATATACCGGCTCCTTTTATGTGAAGGGTGCCTACAACGGCAGCTTCACAGCTTCACTTCAGTCTGCGCGTACGGGCAAAGTATTTGCCAGCGCTAAGATTGCGTCGCATAGCGTTGAGGACAAATGGGTGCAGCACAGCTTTACCCTTGTTCCTCATAGCGCTGCCCCGGATACTAACAATACTTTCTCCCTCACCTTTGATGCATCGGTTAGTAGATCAACAGATAAGACCAAATCACTTACTGACTCAGTTTATTCAGAAAGCGGAAGACGGTGCGTTGGACTTCAACCTCATTAGCCTGTTTCCGCCTACCTGGAACAACCGTCCCAATGGACTGAGAAGAGATCTGATGCAAGCAATGAAGGACTTTGGTCCGGTAAGAATTATTGTGCATCTTATGACGCTAGTTGCTAACGACGCAGAAATTCCTACGCTTCCCTGGTGGTAACAATCTTGAAGGTGAGACTATTGACGGCCGCTGGAAGTGGAACGAGACCCTTGGGCCCCTCAAGGACCGTCCTGGTCGTGCCACCACTTGGGGATACCAGGAGACCGGTGGAATGGGTCTGGTTGAGTACATGGAGTGGTGTGATGATCTTGGAATCGAGCCTAGTGAGTTATTCACTGTCAGGAACATGGCAATACTCTAACCAAGTCCGAGTCCTTGCGGTGTGGGCCGGTCTCGCGCTTAACGGCGACGTTGTCCCCGAAGACGAACTTCATGTGTATGTGGAGGACGCCCTCAACGAGCTTGAGTTCCTTACCGGCTCCGTAAACACCAAATATGGAGCATTGCGCGCTTCCGTGGGCCACCCCGAACCCTGGGTCATCAGATATGTCGAAGTTGGCAACGAGGATAACCTGAACAACGGAATGGCCTCCTACACATCCTACCGGTTCAAAGCTTTCTATGACGCGATTAAGGCCAAGTACCCTGACATTACTGTCCTGGCATCGACTATTGATATGACCCTCCCTGGTGACGCTGGCGGTGACTATCATCTGTACGATATTCCCGACAATTTTATCACTCGCTTCGGCTTCTTCGACAACATGTCCGAGGATCACCCAATTCTGCTTGGTAATAATAACAAAACCCAGTCTATAGCTCTGACTAACGCTTGATAGGCGAAATCGCCGCGGTGCAGTATAACGGAGCGGAGATTGACTGGGCCAACAGACACTTCTCCCTCTACCCATGGTGGATTGGAAGCGTCGCGGAAGCCGTGTTCCTTCTGGGTGCCGAAAGAAACGCCAACAAGATTATAGGAACGACCTACGTAGGTTGCCATTCTTCGTTGAAATGACCGAAACTGACGAAACAGGCACCCATGCTCATGAACCTGGACAACTACGAGTGGTCCCCCACGTTCCTGGGCTTTAATTCCGACCCTGACCAGACAGCCCGCTCCACCAGCTGGCACGTTTATGATGTATGCCCTTCTCATTCGCATCTTATTCTACACCATAATACTAATCAGCCTAGCTCTTCTCTCACACCCACATGACCAACACCCTTCCCACCAAATCCTCCGACAAGTACGGCCCCCTCTACTATGTCGCAGGTCTCGACAACAGCACGAACAGCCATATCTTCAAGGCAGCCGTGTACAACAGCACCGCCGACGTGCCCGTCTCGCTGACTTTTGACGGCGTCAAGGCCGGCACCGCCGCTGAACTAACCGTCCTGACTGCATCTGACGCCCTCGCCATGAACGAGGTTGGCGGTGCCAATCAGGTCAAGAGCAAGGTGTCGACTCTGCGGGCTGGCAAAGAGGGCGTCTTCAAATTCAGCTTACCGAATCTGAGCGTGGCTGTTCTGAAGACCAAAGGTAGTAAGTGATCGCTCTGCGACTCACCATACTGAAAGGGGAATGTGTAAGGAGACCATATGTAGATAGTGGTACTAGAACAGATCCTCTAAGGAACTTAAGGAATTGTGCATCTACATGGAATTACATCTCCAACCTCGGACCATGGTAATGCCTCTTCGCATACACAAACCAATTCACCACGCCGAGAACCAACATTACAACCAACACAACAGAAGCATAATCTACACCCGTTAGCCCAACCTCACCCACAGCAAAGGATACCCAACGAAGAGGAAAAACAGAGGAATACGTACTCATATTCCCCCCAGTAACCGGAAACGTCGTCGGAAACGTAAAGAAAACCGTAATCACCACTGCCCACACAATCGTCACCGCATTACATACATACCCCACCGCACGCGGGACCTTGAACGGCCTCGACGGCGGGAGATACTCTGGCGAACGACGGCGGTAGATGAGCAATGCCGCAGGCACAGCGAAGGAGATCTGCGCGACGATGACAGTCGTGCCTATGAAGGCGTTGAAGGCTGCATCTATCAGTTTCTATATCTGCGGTGGAGTGGAGGTTGCTACTGCGAGACATACCTGTCGTCGAGCAGACGTATACAATCCCGACAAGCAGGACGAGGAGACCGTTCAGGAGGAGGGCGTAGACGGGGACGTTGAGGGATGGATGGACGGATGCGAGGCGGCGCGAGAAGAAGAGGCCGTTGTCTCGAGCAAAGGACCAGGTGAGACGGGATGCGGTCTGGTGGACTGCGTTGAGGGCGACGGCGGAGACGACGACGAGGGCGGCCATGAAGATTGTGGCGGCTGTTGGGGAGCGGGTGGCTTTTTCCCAGATGAAGTAGATGGGGAATCTAGACAAAGTGTTTCATCAGTAAGTGGCTGTGATTGTGGTTATGGAGGGGATAGGCAATCACGCACCCTGTTGGCGAGGACAGGGATGATTCCACGTCGCGATAGCTGTAGATGATAGCAATGGAAAAGGGGAACGCAGTCAGAAAGCCGACTGCGACGGTTACCAGCACGGCCTTGGGGACGATACGCTCCGGCTCGAGACACTCTTCTGCTAGGTGGAGGGTGGCGTCGAGCCCGGAGAGCATGAACTGCGGCGTGGAGAGGCCGGTCAGGAAGGAGATGCCGTTGGGCCAGCCGCCGGAGCCGTTGGTAAACTGCGTCCAGATGGCGAAGGAGTCGATCTCGGTGTGGGAGCGGGCGGGACAGGTGATGGTGATGGCGAGGAAGGTTCCAAGGGAGAGGATGACTGTTGGATGACGATGTCAGCATGCACTTGTATATTCCAGGAATGGCGAGGTGAGAAGGGAGGGGGAACGTACAGCCCGCATTGTAGACCCAGAGGGTTCTGTTGGTGAGAAAGATGTTGTAGACAACCATGATGGTGTTAAAGAGCTGATACACCAGAAAGTAATGCCACGCCTGAGGCACATACTCAGGCTGCCAGCGGATAACCACCGCCATCAGCGCCTGTGTCGAGGCCACCGCAATTGACGCCGCGAGTGTGATCCACGAGAACACGGCCGCAAGACCACTAAAGTACGACAGACTGCGGCTCCATCGCTCAGACGCCAGAATAGAGGTGAAATGGTACTGCCCGCCTGCCGTGGGATAGACGCTGGCCAGCTCCGCCAGTGTGACACCCGTGCACAGCATGGCAACAGTGACGGCGACGATGCCGTAGAGCAATGACACAGCGCCTCCAGACTGCACGGCAATAGCAAAGCTGGTGGCGATGGCGACCCAGCTGTTGGAGATGTTGTAGCCCACGGCGATGATGCTGAGGATGCTGAACTTGCGCTTCATGGGCATGTCCGGCAAGCCCATGACGACCTGGCCGGTGGCCAGTTCGATTTCTGGGGGTCCATTGTCGTGTGGTTTGGAACACGAGTCTGCTCTTTTGTTCTTTGTCTCCATAATGATTGAAAGATGTAAAGATGCAGCGTAGTGCGAGCCCTTAGCGAGGAGACCAGTGACTTCTATATAGACTACAAGTCACGCTTCCCAAAACCCCCCCCTCCGACATAGCGCCTCCACATCCTTGAGATCCATATCTAACAGAATAGTGCATCCATTGGCGAGAGTTACAGTGATAAGAATGGTCTTACTTTTACTGACATCTCATGATGCAATGGCTGATTCCACTTGACCAGGTCAGATAGGCACCAGAACTATGTCGGAACGCGCTATCGAATTCCGAGCCTGTTATCAACACCACCTCCAATAAGCCGTGCGTATCGCGCAGAAACTCCAGGTACTCAGGCAGGAACGACTGCATTGGGCGGAACGAAGCGGAATTCAGCCACTGGCCTGAAAAAGGATCGTCATCGATTTTGCGGGGGAGGGTAAGGGATAGCGAATTTGGACGGGCGACTACTGGCTCAGCGACAGCTGCAGACTGGACAAACGCCAATTTCCCCGCAAATCAAGGCTGGTCCATGGCGTTGGTATCGATGGTCAAGTCAGCCGTGGCTATGGTTGCCCAGATTTAGCTTCAGGGTTACGGTTTGGTTCCGAATTTCCATCCCCATCGACCCGTAGGCTGGCTATTCAAGAGAGCTAGTTAATGCGGAGGAATAAATGGCGTCTGGTAAACCGGGGGGAGCGATGCAGAATCTCGACCTTGAATAAATCGATATGTTAGCCGACCAGCTGCTGCATACTTGGGATGTATACACAAGCATGATTTCTTTCCGCCGCAAGATCCATCCTTATCTCGGTAGGGCTATTGTGTGGACAGCGGACATATACCAATCCATCGCCTCGAGATCTACTGATTACTGGCCTTTAAACTTATCCTTTGTAGTGAAACAAGTCAATTGAGGCCTCATCTCGGTAACAATGCGGGTCATATGCTTCATGCTATGCGGGGTTACCGCGCCTTCGGGATTGCTCCGCACAGCGGAAATGAACCTTTTCGCCCTAATATCACCTTTGGAATGCGTAAAATGACTTTCACTCGACCTTGTGAACAATTGTATTCTATATTCACAACGACTAGCCTCATACATGGCTACAAATGCCGTTTTCTTCTCTTTACACCCGAATGGATCCTCCACCTTGCCACCTTGCCCTCCACCTTCCTCCCCAATCCAACGAAGCTTAAACTAGTCAACGGTGTACTGCAGAACCAGTACCTACCTTTCCCCCGTGCGTTGTCTGTAAGATATGATAGTCGAGGTACGGCATTCTTGGTTCTACCCCGGAGGACGCTGAAGGCTCATGCGGAGCTGCCCCGGTGCAACCCCTTACCTTTGGAAAAAAACGCAGCAACGGTCGCAATAAATGCGAAGCCGGCAGACGCAGCAAAGGACAACCTGATACCTTTGTAGTAAACCAGTCGCGCAGCCATCTGAATGTCAGGGGGCAGGTCCTGTATGGCGGAGACGGAGTGTCGAATCTGCTCGATAATCTAGCACAACATCGATTGCGAGAGTCAGCCATATTTCATCTCACAGTGATGCTCCATTTGAGGGATGTTACTTTCCATTTGTCTGGTATTCCACTCAAGGCCTTCGAAAGGCCTGAGCGTAATGTATTTTGAATAATGGCTGAGGTAATAGCAACGCCCCAGACAGTCCCTAGGGACCGAATCAGGTAGACAGTGGATGCAGACACAGCGTGATCTAATCGAAGTTATAAGCCCGCAACTTCCGCCGAGGTAGAGTCCCCCACTTACCGGCGTGGTCAAATGCAGCGAGAAACGTAAACAAGATTCCGGGGTAGACGATCCCCTGGCCAAGACTGGCTGGAATCACGTAGGTGAGGTATTTCCAACCAGCATCGCGGAATTGGATAGACATCACGAGCAGATTTCCAATGCACATCAGTAAGCAACCTGCACGCACAAGGAATGCCAATCTCCCCCAGCGGGACATGACGACACCAGAGATCAGGCTGCCAATGGGAGCGGCCAAGGAGGGAATAGCGAGTCTTGCCCCGGCTTTGGTAGGCGTGTCTAGCAGTATCACCTGAAATAAGAGCGGGAGGGTGAAGAGAAACTGCCTCTGGTTAGCTGTAGCCTAGACGAGCAGATAGCATGGGTCCACTCACTGCATACGCTGCCATTCCAACACAGACATTGGCAATTTGAGTGGATACGGGCATGACGCCACGGAGCATTTTTGACGGGATCAGAGGAATTGCCGGCGTCTTCGCTTCGACGACCATGAACAAGCCCAAAAGGAGCAAGCTGGTCACGAGTGAGAGGATGACCCAAATGCTCGACCATGGTAGCTCATTTCCACCCAGGCTCAGGCCGACAAGTTGGCTTGAAAGGCCAAGAATGAGCAGTAGAGCTCCTGATAGATCGACATGTCGCAGTATCGCTCGAAAACTCTGCCCTTGTCCAAAGGTTCGGCTATGCCGCGGAAGATGCAGAACAAGATGGCCTGTAATCAATGCGAATAGCCCTACAGGCACCTGCACAAGGAAGCACCATCTCCATCCAATCGTGTCGACAATCGAGCCACCAAAAGACGCACCACAGATGGAGCCGAAGCCATGCATGCCGTTTTGCAGAGCTTGATACATACCCCGACGTCTGAACGGAATGAGGTCGGAGTTGACAATTGTAGCTGGACCGTGTGAGTGTCGCCCTCCAGCTCGGGATGGTGCGACTTACCCATAGTCATTAGACCACCGCCGCCAATTCCCGTCAACGCCCGCATCGTATTCAGGAAGACAATATCGTTGGCAATACCGCAACCCAAACAACCAATGACGAACGTAATGGTAGCGGTGAAAAAGGACACTCTCCTGCCAAATATGTCTGAAAAGCGACCGTATAGAGGCTGAAAGGCGGTGCTAGTGATGAGATAAGAGGTTGTAAGCCATGACGCAGTGTTGGCGGCATTGAATTCCGAGCTAATCACTGCATATGTCGAGGCCGTGATGGTGCCGTCGAATCCAGAGAGAAAGACATTTGACATGATAGCTGACAATGACAGTGAGTTCCTCTTCAGTGATTTTCTCGCGATGTACTTACCGATCTGGACCCACAGAAATCCTATCGGTGGTGCCCAAATTTCATCCGTCGAGTCCAGCAGCGGTCGCTCCTCGTACAGGGGAGACAGGGTTGATTCAACATCATCTGATTGATTTGATACGGTTGCACTGCCTGCGGCTGAACATACAAGAGATGACATGACGAGAATCAGCAGGTTGCTATGACCCAGGAAACAAATGCAGCGTGTGGGCGAGAGGCCGACAGGATTTGTTCTCAAAGCAATCGTGTCCGATTGAAACGATAAAGAATCTCGATGTGTCAAACTCGAGGAAAAAATCATGTCTTTGAAGACGAAGGACTGTTTGGATAGTTTTGACTTTTGAGCTCATCGATATCGATAAGCACGGAATCCTGCTCCACCATTGAGCCATGTTGCCAAGATCGCTTAATGTTGATCCTCGTCGGACTCCTGAAACGGAAAAGAGCTGCAGTTCCCAGGAGAGAAAGTATGTACCGTAGTAGTATCGCTACAATGCATAGTTACTCGACTTGACTGTATGCAGAAAAAGCTGAAAACAACCGGACACAGTTATGTATCAGCGAGCACGGAGGACCAAATGAAAAAGGGAGATTGCTGAATGAAGGAGCTGAGATCGACTCCTGCTGGTCCAACGTACTGGCAACACTTCACGGCTCTATGTTGTTTTCCTCAACATCAGACCAACTCCCCTCATATTTTAACCGGCAGCTATATCTGTATTGCTCTAAGAGATCAGGGTTCAACTGATTAGATGCAATCCACTTTTCTTCATACTGTCGCTGATATTCCCTGTCTGGCTATCAGCATCTCAGTCAGCCAGACAAGCCTGTTGCCTAAAGTGGTTAGTACGTAGTACCCTAGGGACAAGAGCTCGGGTGAATTTGCGAATACGCAAGCAATACGAAGCCAATCAGCAGTCATGGAGAATTCGCCACCGACTGCAGCTCGGAGCAATAATTGCCGCTTTGGTGGCTAGCCCTGTACTTACTTAACTAGTCCAGGATGATGATTAAATATCCGATCTTACATCTTTTGCGTGAGGCCATTGTTCGGGGACAAATGGATTTACATGTGCTTCAGCGTGTGCATGGTTACCTAGGTGTCTATAGTTTCTATACTGCTCAGCAGTTATTATTCAGCTCCATTGGTTGTTTGTGGTGCAGCGCATCGCATTCTGATAACCAGACCAGCTACCCCGGAAATCGTTGACGGGACCCACTACTTTAGATCCTGTCATAACGTGCAATGGAACAAACCGGGGTTGACCGAACCCACATGATCCATGTTTGGTTTGCTGACTTGCCAAGATGATTCGATGTCCCTTGTCGACCACTGAATGGCAGGGCCGGTGGCCTGACTGTCGTGGAGTCATCGCTATGATGCTGGTGATACCTTAGCAGGAGGGGCCTGACCATCCAGGAGCAGGGCTAGGGTCCCGTATCCGGGTTCGCTTACATCCAATTCCTGACTTTTCTTCCCCATCGGATTCCCTTTTGTTTATGCTACCCGGGCTCGGATATCTCTGTATCCGCTCTCCGTAGGCGGGTTGTGGTTACCTTATGTTCCTTGGATGATGACATGTATGCCACCTGTTTACCTGGTTGTCTCCTGAGGATGATTTGTTTATCGTTCGCTCCTTCCTTTCATTCCCCATTCAAACATTGCTCTTGATTACTTCCAGATTTGTCACGAAGGACGGACGACACGCGGACTAGTTTAATCCCTGATCGTCTTCTTTCTTCATTTCTTCCTGTCATGACCAGGCAGTCATCTCGGAGGTTTGCGTGAGTCCTGCAGAGATAGCGATGCAACCGACCTGTCCAGCTCCTTTCGGGGCGGCTGCTGTCTCATCTAGTGCGGGCCAGGAAGTCGCAAGTACAATCCAACGGCAATTTACTCATGCTGAAGAGGATCGTATCGTGGAGACCCCACTAGGAGAGAAGGCAGACAGTTCAGACACGGCAGGGCCAGATTCCGAGGACGGCATTGATCAGGAAGGGCACGAAAAGGTTACAGCTCTTGCGCGGAGCCTCTCGCAGATATCTCAGAAGAGTGCAGATCCAACCAACACTTTTCTCGACTCCTCCAGCGACCCCGAGCTAGACCCCAGCTCCGACAAATTCAGTTCGCGCAAATGGATGAAGAATTTGTTGCACATTAAGACGCGCGATCCAGACCATTATCCCCGTCGTACCGCAGGCGTCTCATTTCGCAACCTGAATGCCTATGGTTACGGAACAGCAGCCGACTACCAGGCCGATGTAGCCAACATGTGGCTCAAAGGGTTCGGGTGGCTTCGAAGTATTCTCGGGTGTAGGGACAGGGTTCGCATTGACATCTTGCGCAATTTTGAGGGATTTGTCCGCAGCGGCGAAATGCTTGTTGTACTTGGCCGGCCAGGCAGGTAAGTTCTGCAGGGCGCTTGGCTTGAATGGAGAAGGAATGTCTCGATTGGCCCTAACTGTTCGCGCACATAGTGGATGCTCAACCTTCCTCAAGACGATTGCGGGAGAAACTCATGGTTTGTGGCTGGACGAAGGAACTCACATTCAATACGAGGGTATCTCATGGGATGAAATGCACAGTCGCTTCCGCGGCGAGGTCATCTACCAGGCAGAAACCGAAATTCATTTCCCTCAGCTCACTGCAGGCGAGACTCTGCTTTTCGCCGCCCAGGCTCGAACCCCAGCAAACCGTTTCCCTGGTGTCTCCCGCGAACAATATGCAACTCATATGCGGGACGTCGTCATGACCATGCTGGGTCTAAGCCACACGATGAATACACGGATAGGAAATGAGTACATTCGAGGCGTCTCTGGAGGCGAGCGAAAGCGGGTCAGTATTGCCGAGACTATCCTCTGTGGCTGCCCTCTCCAATGCTGGGATAACAGCACCCGAGGTCTTGATAGCTCTACGGCTCTGGAATTCGTCAAGAACCTTCGCCTGTCCACGAATTATACTGGGTCAACAGCTATAGTAGCCATCTACCAGGCTAGTCAGGCTATTTACGACATATTTGACAAGGTCATTGTGCTCTATGAAGGCCGCCAGATATACTTCGGCAAAGCTAGTGATGCGAAGCGCTTCTTCATTGACATGGGGTTTGACTGCCCAGACAGGCAAACCACCGGTGACTTCTTAACATCTCTGACGAGTCCTTCCGAAAGACTGGTCCGGAAAGGGTACGAAGCCCTCGTCCCGCGTACCCCGGACGAGTTTGCTGCTCGATGGAGGGAAAGCGCCGAGCGGCAACGGCTCCTGGCTGACATTGAAGCATTTGAAAACGAGTCTCCGTTGGGTGGCAGCAAATACAAGGAGTTCACTGTCTCTCGCGCAGCTGAAAAAGCCAAAGGTACCAGGGCGCCTTCGCCCTACACTCTTTCGTACCCGATGCAAATTCGTCTGTGTCTCCGCCGAGGCTTTCTTCGTCTCAAAGGTGACATGAGCATGACTCTGGCAACCGTCATTGGCAATAGCATCATGGCATTCATTGTCTCCAGCGTATTCTATAACTTGGACCAAACGACCAACAGTTTCTTCTCCCGTGGTGCACTCCTCTTTTTCGCAATTCTGCTGAACGCCTTTGCAAGCTCGCTTGAGATTTTGACGTTGTGGCAGCAACGGCCGATTGTAGAGAAGCACGACAAATACGCGCTCTATCATCCTTCGGCAGAAGCCATCAGCTCTATGATTGTTGACTTACCTTCCAAGTTTCTGGTTTCCGTCGTGTTCAACCTTATCCTTTACTTCATGACCAATCTGCGTCGAACCCCGGGACACTTCTTTGTCTTCTACTTGTTCTCCGTAACAATCACTCTGACCATGTCCAATATTTTTCGCTGGATCGGAGCAATCTCACGCTCGATGGCACAGGCCATGGTACCCTCCTCTATTTTTATGATGATTCTTGTCATCTACACGGGTTTCACGATTCCAGTACGCGATATGCATCCATGGTTCAAATGGCTGAACTATTTAAATCCGATCGGTGTAAGTTTTCACCTCCTTGTTTCGACCTCTTAGGCTCAGCTAAGCACGAGCTAGTATGCGTTCGAATCTCTCATGATCAACGAGTTCAGTGACAGGGAATTCCCTTGCGCTCAATACGTACCCGCTGGCCCGGGTTACGAGAATGTTCCCCTTAGCTCAAAAATTTGCTCTCAGAAGGGCGCCGTAGCTGGACAAGACTACGTTGACGGTGACGCATTTATCAATACTTCATATCGGTATTTCAGCTCACATCTCTGGCGGAATTATGGCATTATATTAGGTTTCTTTTTCTTCTTCCTGGCTGCCTACATCATCTGCAGCGAGCTAGTCCGTGCGAAACCCTCCAAAGGGGAAATCTTAGTATTCCCTCGAGGGAAGATACCTGCATTTGTCAAGAAGCCCCGGCGCGATGGTGATCTGGAAGGAGCTCCGACCTCAGAGAAGCAGCAGCTTGATAATGCGGGCCATGACAGCACCGCTGCAATCGCCAAGCAAACCGCGATCTTCCACTGGCAAGATGTATGCTACGACATCAAAGTCAAAGGAGAGACACGCCGAATTCTGGATCATATCGACGGATGGGTCAAACCAGGAACGTTAACAGCATTGATGGGTGTGACTGGGGCTGGTAAAACGTCGTTGTTGGACGTCCTGGCTAATCGTGTTACCATGGGTGTGATCACCGGCGAGATGCTAGTTGACGGTCGCATGAGAGATGACTCCTTTCAACGGAAGACTGGTTATGTTCAACAGCAGGACCTGCACTTGGAAACAAGTACTGTCCGCGAGGCTCTTATCTTCAGCGCTACACTCCGGCAGCCAGCGAGCACACCGCACAAGGAGAAGGTAGCCTATGTCGAGGAAGTAATTAAGATGCTAAACATGGAAGAGTACGCGGAGGCTGTTGTTGGAGTTCTTGGTGAGGGCCTTAATGTCGAGCAGAGAAAGCGGTTGACGATTGGTGTTGAGCTTGCCGCCAAGCCGGCGCTGCTCTGCTTCTTTGACGAGCCCACTTCTGGTCTTGATAGCCAAACAGCCTGGTCCATTTGCACTCTTATGAGGAAACTGGCGGACCATGGGCAGGCCATCCTCTGCACCATCCACCAGCCATCGGCCATTCTGATGCAACAGTTTGATCGTCTGCTCTTCCTCGCCAAGGGCGGGAAAACGGTATACTTTGGCGAGTTGGGGCCCAACATGGAGACACTAATCAAGTACTTTGAGAAAAAGGGTTCTTCCAACTGTCCTAAGAACGCAAACCCTGCCGAGTGGATGCTGGAAGTCATTGGTGCAGCTCCCGGCTCGCATGCGGACCAGGACTGGCCGGAAGTCTGGAATAACAGCCCGGAACGAGCTCAAGTACGTGCAGAACTGGCACAGATGAAAGAGGATTTGCTACAACGACCTCCGCCACCTCGGACCAAGGAGTATGGTGAGTTCGCTATGCCTCTCTGGGCGCAGTTCCTTGTTTGTCTCCAGCGCATGTTCCAGCAATACTGGCGAAGTCCGTCGTACATATACTCCAAGGCTGCAACGTGTATCATTCCGGTGAGTGGCATTCCTCCGTGAGACACAATGGAGTCGGCATGTCTGACTATCAGCGCCCCAGCCCCTGTTCATTGGCTTCACGTTTTGGCGGGAGCCGACCAGTTTGCAAGGCATGCAGAATCAAATGTTCGCCATCTTCATGCTGCTGGTCATCTTCCCCAACCTCGTCCAACAGATGATGCCGTACTTTGTAACTCAGCGAGCCTTGTATGAAGTGCGCGAACGACCCTCCAAGGCGTACTCGTGGAAAGCGTTTATGCTCGCGAGCATCCTGGTCGAATTACCCTGGAACATTCTAATGGCCGTGCCAGCATATTTCTGCTGGTATTACCCAATCGGCCTCTATCGTAATGCGTATCCAACGGACAGCGTGACTGAGCGCGGTGGCACAATGTTCCTGTTGATTCTCATCTTCATGATGTTTACGTCCACGTTCAGTTCGATGATCATTGCAGGCATTGAGCAGCCAGAGACAGGTGGCAACATCGCACAGCTGCTGTTCTCACTTTGTCTCATTTTCAATGGGTGAGAAAATCCCTCAAAGCATGAAGAAGACAGCTATGACAGCGCTTGCTAACGTTTGACTCAGTGTGCTAGCAAGTCCGTCGGCCCTCCCGGGCTTTTGGATTTTCATGTACCGGATATCCCCCTTCACGTACCTTGTGTCCTCAGTGTTGTCGGTGGGTCTAGCTGGAACCAGCGTCAAGTGCTCAGATATTGAGATCCTCCATGTTCCACCCCCGCAGGGCCAGAATTGCTCGAGCTTCCTGGGCGCATATGTACAGATGTCCCACGGCAGATTACTTAACCCGGAGGCAACCGCGAATTGCCAGGTGTGTCCAGTGGCAGATACGGATACTTTTCTGGCACAACTGAGCATCAGCTACTCAGATCGCTGGCGCAATGTGGGGCTGTTGTTCGTGTACATTGTGTTCAATATCTTTGCCGCGGTCTTTCTGTATTGGCTCATTCGGGTGCCCAAGAAAAGGTCTCGCAAGATCAAGGAGGAGTAGAGGAGGCGCCTGACTTATTGCTGTTCGTTAGCGGTGCTTCTGTGATGTATATGTACCCTGCATGACTTGCAGCACTGATAGCAGCTTTATCTTGCAGTATATATGCGCGGCCGGTTTGATAGATGACAAATTATATACGCAGCAAGGCAATAAGCAGGTTATGTTTTGATCAGGTAGGATCACGTCAGTGACCTTGGACAAGTCTAAGTCTGTCAATGATTCGAGAATTGTATTCTCCATGAAAATCCTGGGATATGATTCGGTGTAAGTCCCTGCTCCAAGAGGCACGAATATAGGATGGACAGAGGTATGCAGTCAATGGCACAATACCCGAACTGAATAGCGGTCTTCCTTTTGACATGGAAAGAATCGTCCGCTGAAAAACACATATCTGTTGTCAAAACTACCTCCTGCTGCATCTCTCCGATGAGATCTCGTAATTCCTGCCAACTGCAAGCGAGTCCATCAAGTGCAGATGGTCACATGACAAGAGGGCAAATTGCGCCTTGTCAGGCTCAATCCACCATCACCACCGCAGCAACGGTTCTCTACAAAGACCTTGTTTACAATCTTGAAGAAAGCACAGCCCCGAAGCTTCTGGTGTCGTCATGCTGTACCAGCGTACCAACCCTCTCCGACCTTATTTTGAAGACTACACTAGGCGGGTGATCTAGAACGACCTCGTTGAGGCTTGTTGAGGCTTGGAGCAGAAACTCAAGAGATGTGGAGGCGGCAAATTTGACTAAGGGAGATCAACAGGATAAGGAACTCCTTCCCAATAGAAGGTTAGCACAAAGGCCGTGTTCATCCTTGTGAATGGCATTCTGTTCATCTGTGACGCACAGGTAAGGAGAAAATAGCTCCATGACAGGTGGGCCGAACCTTAGTGTGTCGGCATATGACCACCCAGAAAGTACGAAAAACAGAAAGGAGTAAAAAAAGAAAAAGAAACAGAGAGGAACACGAGGCAACGACTTGATTGCGAAATGTGATTGCGATGGCCCTCCATTTTTTCCTCATCCAGACAAGCACTCGCACTGTCCTCGAGTCATGGGAGAGTGATTTGGCCCCCGCTGGTCATCTCGGCCCCAGCGAGCTAATGCAAGCTCGTAGACAACACCGCCTATCGCTGAGGCTGATGTCTTCTCTCACTGGCTATGATGGCTTCTTGTTGCGGTCTGCATCTCTTCCCCGCCATAATACGGCGGGCGCTGGGCAACTGCAGGGCAAAAGAAGAAAAAGCAAATAATTCCGTACTTCCGCGAGTACCACCGTTCTTTGACGGTGGCGCCTACAAGTCGTTTGCAAATCTCCCCTCGTTCAGATACTGAAGCGGGCTGTGAGCCGTTCTTGCATGCATAGTGGACTTCCGGTAGACATACAGTATCTACGCCATGGTATCCACTGGAAGATGGCTTGGATGTCTAGATTCCAGAATATGGGTCTTCAAGTGCTAAACTGGTCTATCTGACAGTATCCACGACAGTTGCCCAAACTAATTTAGACCATGGTTTAGCGCTATCCATGAAGGCGCTCAGCCATGTCCGAACCTGACCGACACTGACTAGGAGGGCTTCCCCAGGTGGGTTTGGGAAACCGACGTCGATGACCAATGAACCATGTAGACCCCGGCAAATGTCTCTGAACTCTCCAATCACGAGTACCGCATCTCTGGTCCCTGTATCTTTCCATCTCTTGCGGCCGATGGGTCTTACTCTTTCTGGCGGTCACTCAGGGGTCTCACCGTCTTACGGACTGAAGATGCTGACGATATAGACAGTGAGAAGCAGGAAAAAGGGGGGTGAGTGAGAAGTTAATTCCCTTCACCCAACTTGAAACTCCCGTGGTCAACTACTGTCCGCCGAATGACCATCTGCCATGGGTCCCGCAGGGCTTTTTCGACTGGTTCTGTCATCTTGGTGGGTTCTTCTCCCAATCGACCCATACCTGTGGTGACAAATTAGCGTCGAGCTGTTGGGGACTTGGGACACGAACGCCGATGCCAAAGGTTGACTTGCGGCTCAACTGCGCCAAATCAGAGGATGGCGTGGGTTTGCTCTGGGGATGCTGTGTATCGCCCTCCTGCGCCGCCCCATGGCCAACTCCTGCATATCGCATAAGGCATATTCTGCTGAGTCGTAATTTTAATAGTGCTGGAAATGCATCTGCCCATCGTTCAGGAGATTATAAAGGATCCAGTTGCCTCTTTTCAGGCTGCTGGTGGCTTCTATGTTCATACTTAGTCCAAGGACAAACAGGCCCTTTGGACGTCATTGAAAAATGCATTCAAGCGCTTATGCCGACATCCTTCCCATGACGCTCGGAAATCGTGTATCATTTGAAGATTGCCAGCTTTACTCATCTTCTGACTCTTGCACCGACCCAGCCTACTTTCCGAGCGAACCTCAATTCCAATTGCGATCGTCCCATCTCCAGGGCATTCAGAAGACTCATTACTTCCCTACGTATACGTCGTGGACCGACGGATCTCTTTCCTCGCACGTTGCTGGTCCACTGTCGGTAATGGAGGCGGGGCTTCACCCTGTTCTCTTGAGCCCGGATCGCGTCGCATCACCGTGGAGCAGCTACTCCTCAATCTCTGGTGCAGAGAGCCCTGGCAGCAGCGCTGATAGTAGCTTTGCGCAGAGCAACATGATGGAACCCTACCCGTCCCCACCCTATGCTTATGATGATCTGAGAGACCCCTCAGTCAAGACAGAACAATATTCCTCACCAGTGATGTCTGTCACTAGCTCGGTCGCCTTGCCTCAGATACAAACCTATCCTGACCCCGAGCCGATGGTGGAATCATCCTATCCAGTGACTGCGCCAGCGCATCCCTTTGTTTACGAGGAACACAACTGCTCTGAAGGATTAGAAATCGTGGCAGCTCAAGCTCATCGTCATGGTTCGGATAGTATGTCGGGTCACAAAACACCTCCACCTTCCCTTCGACGTCGGAAGTCTCGCTGCACCCCTCAGAAAGATTCATCACCGAACCGAATCACTAAGAGGAAGACTAGAGTCAAGTCAAACACTAAAGTGGCGGCAGCCTCGAAACAACATCCCGCCAAGTCGGCGACCAAGGGCCACGTCTTCATCTGCAGCTTCTCACGCTACGGCTGCGCAAGCACCTTTGCCTCCAAGAACGAATGGAAGCGACACATTGCCTCTCAGCACGTCCAACTCGGCTACTTCCGCTGCGACGTCGGCAACTGCAACGGCGGTCACAAACCCAACAACAAAAACACCTCAACTTCCACCCGCAATCATCACGACCAGGCTGGCCACCAAACCAACGACTTTAACCGCAAGGATCTCTTCACCCAACACCAGCGCCGCATGCATGCACCCTGGGTCCTTGCAGGCCGACCCGACGCCACCACCGAGCAGGAACGGATGGCTTTCGAGGCCAGTCTCGAGGATGTCCGCGCCCGCTGCTGGCACGAGCAACGCAAGCCACCACAACAGAGTTCCTGTGGATTCTGCGGGCACAATTTCTCCGGCCCGAATAGTTGGAATGACCGTATGGATCATGTTGGACGGCACTTTGAAAAGGATGAGACTCCTCTTGAGGAGGCCGAGGATATCGCCCTAAGGGACTGGGCCATCAGTGAACGGATCATCCAGCGTGATAGTAAAGGGCAGTGGATGCTTACTGCTCTATGCTAATCATTCGTCTTTCTTACTTCTTATTTTAATGCTTCCTTTCTTTTTCATTATTTTCCTTTCTTCTCCTCTTGTTTCGGATTGATGACTTTGGCGTACCTTGGATGCACGGCTTTAACCACGCTATACCCCCTGGTTATATAGAAGGACTGGACCAACTTGATGACTAACGATGGATATCCTGTATTGTTATGATGGATTTTGCTTTTTGACTGCTAGCTGCATACATACTAATGAACTTTGAACTCTTCTACTCTACTCTGCTGCTCCTGCTCCGTAGTGATACATAATAACCTGTCAATCAGGCCAGGCTGCATAACGCAATAGTACCGTATCCTCCTGGTCTGAACGTGAAAGTGCGACAGTGTGCCTATCACGCATCGCATTCTCCCTAAATCAACATAATAATGACTGTACCCAAGGAATACCAAACACTCAACTTCGATAAGCTTCATCGCCCTAACGCACCAATTTTCCAAGGTTAGTGAGGTCAATACGTACAAGAGCACTCCTGCTTCTGTTTTCGAAGTAGACTGTATTCAAGTTCTAGAATCGGATTTTGGACTTGAGTCATCTGTTTTAGACGGTGACCCCATACGCTCGCTTGAAACGTCTTCTATGTGCGCTGTACAGATTTATTAATCTCTTTATCACCCTATATATCACCTGTCTTCTTTGACATAGTTCTTAATATATATAACCTGAGTTGTATGTGCACCCTTCCAACGACTCAGACCCTCGATGTAATGATTTGAAATATACAATGAAGATGACCTGCTGAATCAAGTCTATTTGTGACTGATCCTCAGAAGTCTGCTGCGTGCTGTAGTGTTAGATTATCCCTTTGAGAAAACAGAGTTTCCGGCCTCAGGACTAATCCACCCGTGGCTTCAGAGCAGACTGAACAGTGAGTAGCCATGATTCACCCCGCAGCTTGACTATCCAGAAGGACAAGGGGCCCCGGAATCTGGAATCTGTTTCGTCGAGCCACGTGGGTAGAATGAGGCTTTGAATATGTCGACAGGACTCTTGCTCGGAGCGTTCTTTGCCTCATGTCATGGTAATTTTGGGGCAGAACAGGCCGGAAGAAATCTGGGACGTGACGGACATTCGCGTGACTGGCTTGTTGCTATATGCCATTAACATCGGTCTAGGTTTGTGACTGGCAGCTGCTACATGACGCCAGCAACTGTTCGCATGCTCAAGGGGGTGTCCGTGGGATTGATCCAGGAGAACTCGGGCCAGGATCTGGAGACACCACGATTATCGGGGAGCTGTCTCCCATTGACGACTCCTCATCTGCCCTATTTGGAGCAGTGGATGATCTTATCCGACCACCACTGGCATAAATTGGTTTTGGCACTTCGAGTGTGTTACCCCGGGCTCGTGAATGACTTCCAGTGGCATTTCCGGATGATGAAGGATCCTGTACGTCGAACGAGCTCCGATCAGCCTGCGACATGCTAGCCTGCGATCTTCCACCAATGCTCGGCGCAGGGGAAGAAGACCTTCCGATGGGCGGGCTACCATCGAGGCCTCGCCGAGAGGAAATGCTGCCCGTAAAACTAGGCACCCGGGAAAGCCGCTCGGGAGACCCTGATGTGCCAAATTCGTCTGTGTTCTGACCACGATTGTATTGCTTCCTTATCTTGTTCAATTCACCGTTCCGGTTTTCCTCCCCGGGTATCTCTGGAAACCGCAGTGCTGGCCCGCTCTTGAAATCGGAATTCTGATATCGATCATGCGCTGCATTGCTCATCCAATTGCTGACGGCAAAAAGGGTGTGCGCAATTTTGCGCCGACTGCCCTGATCTTCTGTTGCAGAGCGCTTCAGCGGCCATCTACTACTTCGACTCATCGTATGCCCCACTTCTATCGAGGAACCTCTGTCGCTGCCGAGAGAATTTGGTCGATCCTGGACACAAGATCCCTCAGCATCACTCAGAATGCGCTCGCGAGGTAGAGGACCGGAGTAAGTGCTGCTAGCTTTTTCCTCCACATCCTCTTCCTGATCTTCTACTGCTGCTGCCAAGAACAGCGACAGCGATCCAAGTACAGCAAGGCCAGCACCAACAATCGGCGCCCATTGGCCTGCCCACAAGTCAGATACTTGGTATATTTCCCATAGATATATTCACGAGGGAACTTACCTATACTCTCTATTCGCTCAGTCTGATATCGGACTTGATCACTGAAAAAGTTCATCTCGCCAATGAGGATAATTACGAGGACTGCTGCCCCGAATATGGGCACCTCCACGACACTCAGAAACGATCTGATCATTTCGTTGACCTTATTCATTGTCCCGAGCGTCGCACCGTTCGTGCCTTCAATGACCTCGTCCTGCTTTTTGTTCCGGTCCGGATTGCCGAACCGTCTGGTCCAGTTGATCTCAAGAATCTTATTCCACATCGACGCGAGCGAGAGGATGGCTGGAATACAACATGCAGCAGCCAACAGCGTCGCAGCGCCAAACGTAAGCTTCTCTGGTACAGGGATGACGTAGATGTCATTTGCCGAGCCCTGTCGCATAGGCGAGAATGGGCCGGCTACGACGGAGCAAGTAAGATTACACATAGTCGTACCGTAATGAAATTCGTCAGAGTTCTTGAATATCGGACGACCGTTGACCGTGCAGGGATGCGGTTTGATCCGATAGAACTCGATTGTTAAGCTCAGAAGACCTTCGGAGAGGAAAGTTAAGCAGATTCGTACAACAGCACCGGAAAGGAAACTCACCTGCAAGTATAAGACCAGTCCACAAAAAGATGATATTCCGGCCGGGTTCATTGAAGTACGTTTTTGATAGTCTAACGGTGACTGGGGCTGTCAAGATGCCGATTGAGCAAAGCTGAAAAGCTCCAAAAACGTCCATATCGACAGCAGCTGAACAAGACAGGCCGTTGGTTAGGATGTAGGATATACCAGACACGAATATTGAGCTTACCTTCGATGTGCAGCGACGCGAGTACAATACTATGAAGGGCTGCAACGGCCGGAAAAAGCAGTGCAGCGGCAAGACAGGCATTTCTGAGCCATTCCGCTCTGCGGCCAAAGACGCAGGTTGTTATAAGAACGTAGTACCTGTAATGCCAGAGGACCGCCGAGAGAGATATCAACAAATGCTGGTCACAAAGTAGTGGATACTACAGAGTCCAGAGATAGCGGATGAGCACGGCCACATACAGAATCCTTGTTCCTGGGCCATACTGGCCGGAGACTGGCCAGGCACAAATGGCCTGCAGAATGTCGCTGGCAGCGTCGGGGGCATCGAGCGTTCTATTGAGTTCCGTCGATGAATGGGATATTGCCGGCATAACTAGACATGGTATCGCCCCAAAGATCAATGCTTGTCCGTTTATAAGTGAACCAGAAATCTGTGTATTAAATTAGGTGGTTTAAATGTGGAGACAGGAGTGGCCTTGGAAACAATTTATAGATCGGAGTTTAGTCATTAGACTCGGTGTTAGGTCAATCTTTGATGCAGAAAGGTCAAGTCATTATTCTTCAGGAAGGAGGAAGAGGAATAGGAGGATCCATCACTCCAGCAGCAATTGTCATTTGTGAGGCTAGCAGACGCGCGTAAGCAGATAGGTCTATAATCGGGCATCCCCTCGGCTAACGACGCCCTACGGTCCAAATTGACTGTAGATAGGTTATCAACAGTACTTAGTGGGCGATTATGCAAGAGATGACAGACAAATCTGGCATCTGTCAAATGTCTGCTGCTCCCTCGTTCGGCTCATGATTCGCGTGAGTCGTTTTGCAGCAAATCAAGGAGACCCTGGGGAACTGGGACACGAAGAGCCGAGTTCCCCACATGAGGCTCAACTTCGCTTTGACGTTATTCTGAAGCGGCTTATTGGTTGTGTCCTTGCTATTCGACGACTGGAAAGATCAGATGGACGAGGAATCCCCGACAAAGTTCAGCCAGTCTGAAAGCTGGTCAGAAACCACCAAGAAGGTGGCTGGCACCAGGCAAAAGTCGTGATCAGACAGTGGTAGACACGGCTGAAGGCGCGTTAGCCCTGTCAGTCCTTTCCTGTTTGGGCAATAGCTGATTGTTTTCTCTCTCTCTCTCTCTCTCTCTCTCATATACATGGGTCAGGCCGATTGGAACTCCCCAGCGCTTTTTTTTGGTGATGCTTTGGCTGTTGATAGAGGAATGTCCACTATTCCACTCGTCGTTGAAAGCATACAAGTCGAGGTAGATACCCACTTGCCTTGCCCATGGTACGGGCTATTTACGGAGAATCGAGGTGATCGCTTGAGGGTGGGCTGGTGGCAAGGCTGGAGGGCGCAGTCCCCACATCACACCCAGCTAGTGAGGGCCTTAATGGCTTAGTTCCTAGTCTTGGCTAGTGGCCGAAACTCCCTCTTGTCAGTTGTCAGCGGGGAACCAAGACTCCAAAGAATCCTGCTAGAAGACTGTCTGGGACTCTGAGCCTCTTAGACCTTTCCTTTCGGCTACGTGCTCTGCTGCGCCTCCCTTGGGTGACTTGGTCATTCTTATTATCATTCGGCTAATCGAAATTTATCCCTAAGAATGTGCTCCCCATTATCACCGCTAACCGCTTGAGGGTTGGTTGCACTCAGCGGCGTGTATCGGTCTTGTGCCACCGCTCTTTTTTTTCCCCCTCCAGGCCAAGAAGTTCAAGTGCTATTGCGACAATAATGATGATATAGAAGGCCATCGTCCTCCTTTTGATCTATTCTATCCGTTTCTGTTCTTTGACAATGGATGTGGTTGTTGTCTGACTCGGCAAAGATGGAGTGTGCATGAAGGACGACATGGTTACCGACCGATAAGCAAGTCTGAACATTCCTCTCAACGTCAGTTTTGCTGGTTCGAATTCTCTATGACCAGGGGGCTTTTTTATTCTTGCGCCCTGAAGACAAGAAAGCGGACGAGACACTTTCAAATGGCGCCTGTTGGTTGTTAACGCTTAATTGTGTGCTTACACCTATTTCTTGGAAGCGTTTTCTACATTTGCAGTCCTTGGTGCATCTGATTTCTATCACTGCGGCATCGGGCCGCAACGCTCCAAGCTCGAAAAACGCAAATCGAGGGAGAAAACCCTGAGTCTCCAGCAAGCCTTGAAGGGGTTCACACAAGGACGGTTTACAGAATGGCGGATCTCGATACCGGCAAGATCAAGAACTGGCGTTCGATCGTCACGCTTATTGTTTTCATCATCACTAGTATGTCTGCTAGACGGTCCTGGACCGCATTGAATCCTAAGCGACTGACTCTTGCAGATATCATCGTGCTTTTCCCCTTCCATATTCCCATCTACGTCCCACGCACATTCTCAAATGCAGTGCTGGATTTTTTGAGCAAATTGCGAATTATCCCTCCGAGGGAAAATCGCTTTCAACTCGATGATCAGGAAGACCCCAATGGCAAACTTAAGCCATATGTGCGAATGAACTTTCCTCTTAACTTTGTCACAGCACCGCTCATAGCAGACCTGTTTCTGCTGGCGATCTTGGCGATCGGACGGGAGGAAGTGCGTGGTGGCACGCTTGGGGCCGACAATATCATCCCAATCGATATCATGGCCTTCTTCCTAACTCTGGCTTACATCGCCATCTCCATCGATGCATCCGGTCTGATTAGGTACCTGGCTTTCAAAGTCCTTCAAAAAGGTGGTAAGGTCGGGCACCGGCTCTTCTTTTACCTGTATGCCTTTTTCTTCGGCCTAGGAAGCTTCATTGGAAACGACCCGATTATTCTCTCCGGTACCGCATTCCTCGCCTATATGACGCGAGTATCAAGCAACATTGTCCATCCAAGAGCTTGGATTCACAGTCAGTTTGCTGTTGCCAATGTCGCCTCCGCGATCCTTGTCTCCTCGAACCCAACCAATCTCGTGCTAGCTGGGGCTTTCCAGGTCAAATTCATTGAGTACACTGCTAACATGATTGTTCCCGTCGTGGTCACCGCTATTGTCTTGTTTCCTTTTCTACTGTACATCATCTTCGCGGATGAATCCCTCATCCCTCTTTCCATCAAGATGCACGAGCTCACAGAAGAAGAAAAAGAGAAGAAGCCCGTAAACCCCAACATACCTCATGCGAGGGGAAGGGCCGATGAACAAGAGGACTTCGCGGACGACGAACAAAAGCTCTCCCTCGAAGAGATCATGAACCCTTTCCTGGATAAAGGGGGTGCTGCATTTGGAGCTCTCATCATGGCGGCCACGCTCATTACTCTGCTAGCCCTCAATGCTTCTAGCCAACATGGCCACCCTAAACCCGTTTTCTGGGTGACCCTGCCGGCTGCGGTGGTCATGCTGTGCTGGGATCTTGCGTTCGGATGGTACCACCGTCGTGAAACACGCGAGATTGCCCGTAAAGGCCGCGCAGAAATTGAGCAGGCCCGAGCGGAGCGTGCCCTTAGAGATGAGGAAGCTATGCGCGCACAACAGATTGCCGAGGCATATGAATTCGCTGAATCGACAGAATCCCGATTACAGAAAGAGCCCCACGCTGAACCAGGCACTGATGAGGGGAATACGGCCGATGTCACAAACGTACGGCCATCAGATCGAGTTTCTACCGGCTTTTCGTCCCAAATGTCGGATGGCCAAAGTCAGACGCTGGCCTCTCCTCTAGAATCATCCATTTCGACACTGGCCCCCAAGGATGATCCGTTGCAGAACGGACAATCCACAACCGACGCCATGAGCACGCTGAACGAAAAGCAGGAACTCTCCACGTCCGCCCCACGGGAGCTGTCAGGTGCAACTTCCAGTCTTGAGATGGATGTGGAAAGACGGGTATTCTCCGAGAATGTATCGCACGAGGCCTCATCAGGATATGGTCGAGAACGGGTAACTCTGGTGTCTCTTGCCGCAGACGTGTACAGGTGGTTGCAGGAGACATTCCCCACTGCCACAGCGGTGGTGTCGCACATGCCATTTGCCCTTGTGCCTTTCTCCTTTGCCATGTTTGTCCTCGTACAAGCTTTAGTCACCAAGGGCTGGGTCCCGGTCTTCGCTTACGGATGGGACCATTGGGTGGACAAGACGGGGACCGTCGGAGCTATTGGAGGCATGGGCTTTGTTTCGGTGATCCTATGTAACGTGAGTTGCGAAACTCAACATTGACACAGTCGGACCTGCTCAACTAATCTGTCATATTTACACTAGTTTGCTGGCACCAATATTGGTACTACCATTCTCCTTTCCCGGGTCATCCAGGCATGGAAGCAGATCAACGACGAGCAAGGCACCTTCATCAGTGATCGGACATTTTGGGCGACTGTGTACAGTATGGCGATCGGAGTCAACTACGGTGCCTTTAGCACGGCGTTTAGTGCATCGTTAGCCGGTCTGCTTTGGCGGGATATTCTTGCGAGGAAGCATATTCGCGTCCGCAGCCTTGACTTTGCACGAGTGAACCTTCCCATCATTGCCATTTCCATGGCTGTAGGGTGTGCCGTCCTCGTTGGGGAGGTCTACATCATGAGAGATAACTCTCCCTATAATCCACCACGATGAACTCGGAGCGCGAACCGGCTGGAGTGCCTGGGAGATGCGCTCACCCAGCTCATTCCCTTCCTTTGGCATCCAAGCGAGCATCTCAGATGTCGTCTCTTCAAGAGACTTGTTGCAATAACGCTCCTCAGCAGAACCACTGCCCATGTGAACCACAAAAAGATGACTTGAAGGCTCCAGAGGCTCTGATCGACTCTCAGCCTTGTATGGTTGCCGGCCTACGGAGTACCATACTCGAACGGCCTTGAGAGTGAAGAGACAACGGCATCATCATTAGTTTGAAAGCTGCTGCTCGTCTTGAACGCCGAGTTCAAAAGGCAAAGTGCCTACCTGAGGGCAGTGACGGAAGAAATCTTCCATTGAGAAGACCCGCACCGAACAAATCTGGTCATGTCCTATTCTATACTTTGTTTCCTTGCTCTTATGCTTGCTTGGAAGATTTACGACTCTTTACGACTTCACAACGAGCCATGTGCCATAGATTTCCACTACATACGCATTTTGATAGACATCTCCCTGAATGCTCCCTTCCCGAGCAATCGAACTCAAAAGTGAACAATGTCATACGTGAATATCAACTAAGGATCTTATAATATTCGAAGGTCTTGCTTGCTCAGTTGCCCCTAGTCATAGTGGGGAGACCCCATGTCTCGCTCCAAACTAAGGTAGGGACAGTATTCCACATCTGCATATACACAACCGTACCAATGTCAGGCATTTCTGTGTTAGAGACATCTCGAAGTCGTGGTCAATTTGCACTCAACGGATATAGGCGCCTGCTGATCTAGGGCTGTTCGGCCGAGGAGACTACACATGGAATATCGCCGAGTCAAGGAGGTACCTGCCTATTCTGGAGTCAGCATTCGTCGGATTTAACGGTTCTGCCTTAGGCACCCGGTCACTGGGAGACACTTTCACAATCAAATCCGTACGAATATCTTTACTTGTCAATCTCATTCAAGTGTTTGACTGAGGCAGCAGACACTATGTGGGGTTCAGTGTGAGATCGTTCACTGTACTCCGTACACGCGTAAAGCAGTGGAAGGCCTCACAGGGTTGTGGTTTACTTCGCAACCCTGACGGGAAATCAGGCCATCTTCCGGTGCATAGAGCTTCGGATCTTCTGAGAGCTTGAAAACACTCGGATTTGATCTGCTGATAATCATCTCGGAGATAAGTAAAGCTTGACCCATTGCGTAGCACGGATCCAGTGACGGGCAAGCAGTTTCTTGCGTGTTCCTCTTCCTTCAATGTCCAGACAGCGTATAAATACCTCATACCATGGCATTTTTAAATGAAAGTAGATACAGAATAATCCTATATCTCGCTATTCTTGCTATTTCTTTGTCTTTAAGGGATAACGGCCATTTAAAGGTCCAACCGTGGTGGTCTAGTCAGAGACCAGTCTCAAGCATGGAAGAAGCCAGACCGGTACGTCTCTTGTTCCTTGCTTTAGACGGAAGCCCCAGACTAACAAAGTCCAAGTCAGTTGAAGACCTTGCATTGGCTCTGCACGAGCATATCTTTACTCAGCCCCAAGAGAAATTCGCGAACCAGCCATGGAAGTTGGTCAAGACCATCGGGATCTTCGCACAGAACCAAGCAGAGGACAAGTCGTTTGACAGCAGCCGTTTCTTAGCAAACTTTCTTTGAAATCGACCTGACCAACATGAATCTGCGTGGAAATGCCTGGGAATCTTAGTAATGAATAAGTCGAAACGTATATATCGGGGAGTCGAGGATTGCTCTGTATGCTCTCTAAAGCGTAGTAGTAACCCGCGAAGATAGGCATTCTATTGGCGGTCAGAGCGACGTCCGCATCATCTCTCTGTATCTTGGGTGCGGAATAAATGCCCCGGCAAACATGTGTACCTCAGCAACTCCTATCTCCGCATCCCCTCAGGTGCGGCCAATATCAATGACTATAACGACACGATAACGATGACATGAGATCCCCGATTCGATATACACCACGCTTATAACATACCCGAATCACGAATTAGAGTGATGCTGCACGATTCAAAACATTGAAGTCCGTTCCTCAGCAGGACGATTGTCCGAATCCTATCTATCCACCATGTACATTGAACCTCCCCCCACACATACACATCGCAATTGACCACTCGAACCACAGGGCAGTTTTCTCCCTCATCATCATCAACAAAGCCGGCGGCTTAATCTACCAGCGCGAATTCCAGCCGGGCCTGCGCAAACTCTCCACAAACGACTACCTCGTCCTAGCAGGGACGTTTCACGGGTACGTTGCCTCGAATGAACGCTTCCTCCACGCGAGGATCACCTTCTTAAAAGCAATCGCTAACAGCACCCGTCATACACAGCGTCCACGCCATAACCCGCTCCATCACCCCCAAAATCCCCATCTCTGCGCCCCTCCCAACAACACCCGCTTCCTCCTCAAACGTCGCCCTATCGTCGCCCTCGGGAACATCCACTCCGACGCCAGCCGCGTCGGCATACAGTCTCCCTAATCCCGGTGTACCAGTGACGGGCCTGGAATCGCTCGAGACGGATAAGTTCCGGTTAACGTGTTTCCAGACGTTGACGGGGACCAAGTTCCTCTTATTCACGGATCCGCTCATGGCGAATATCGATGCAGTGATGAAGAAGATCTACGAGTTATATTCGGACTATGTGATGAAGAATCCTTTTTATCAGCTGGAGATGCCTGTCCGGTGTGAAGCGTTTGATCGACATCTAGGTGGTTGGTTGAGGGGAAGGACATGATGAGTTGGCGGGACTGAAATTAGACCACAGTTGAGTGCTGGCGAATGGACTACGCGCGCTACTTGGCGAAGTGGTGATGACATGGAGTACGGTTTCGTGGTCATGATAGACTTTGCAATTCAATTCATATCACTTCTTCAAAGCGCGTAGTGGAAGGCACGCTTTCTAGAATTACAAGAGCAGATGTCAATACAGAGAAACGCCGGGTATGCATTAGAGTCATCCACCATATAGAATGTCACACGACACTTCCTTACGCGGTGTCCATCTTGTCACCGTCCTCTTTCTTGTCTCGGCTTCCGCTCGATTCCCCGCCCGGCTGGCCTTCCTCGGGGATGTTTTCTAGATTCGCTTTGCGTTCAGCTTCTTCCCTCTCACGCTTCTCCTTCTCCTGCCGGTTCTTTTCCTCCTCAAGTGAAAGACGCAAGGCGAATGCGAGCTCAGGGTCGTTTTCAGCAGCGTCCTCGAAGTTAAAGCCGCCGTCACCACCTTCCGCACCGGCGCCGCCTACTCCCGCCTCGCCGCCTAAGATAGGTGTGGCCTGAAGCTCCTCACTAAGCAGGTTGGGGCCCGGGGGGATAATGGCGAGATTGGAGCCGTCGCCACCCTTGACATTCTCCACGAACGCCTCCAATTTCTTGGTTTGATCGGACTCCAGGTCTCCAAAGGCAATGACATCGATCGAGACGTTATTCTTCTTCATCTTCTTAGCCAGCTTGACCAGTGTCTTCTCGTCCTCTTCGATAGGGGAGCAGGAAAAAACGATGATGCGTTGTCTCTGGGACTTCTCAGAACGGTGCTTTAGAGCAAGCTAGATTATCAATTTCGTCAGTATCTATCGACGAAACTTGAGATCGAGGAAGGATGACATACACCAGCCACCTGTATACTGGAGCTGAGATGGGCAGTGCCATGAATCTTGGTGCGGTGCAGACCGGCGAGAATGCTGCCAAAGTCGGAGGTAAACGTCGAAAGAACTTCAGGACCCTTGCCACCCATACTCATGAGCCCAACAGCAGACTGTGGATGCGCGCGCATTTTAGCGCTGTGAATGACGCTGACAGCATCGACCTGTGCTTGCCATCGTGTTGAGCTGCAAGTTGTCAGCCCTTGAGCGACAAAGCTTATCAAAGCTGGGGAAAGCCAAGGAATCCTCACGTATAGTCTCCATTTCTGCTACTTTCACTATTATCCACACTGGAAGAGGTCAGTCAGCGGACAGATAGCTTAAACTGGGCTGGAAAGGACGGACATAATCATAGTTGCTTCGAGCGACATCTTGGATAGAGTCTACTTCGCAAGTTCGGGATGAGACAGTATGTAGATATTATTATTCAATAAGACAGAATTGACTCTTCAAAGATTCTAAAAGCTCTGAGAAAAGGCAAAAGAGGAGTGAGGAAGTTAATAGTGATGGAAGTGATGAAGATGGGCGGAGGTGACGATGGAGGTTGGAGCTGCTGCAGGCGAGATGTCACACTCCGCTCGGAAGCTAACGACGAATTAAGTCAGCGCTTGTTTACTCCCGCAGACTGCCATCAACACCATCCTCTACGCGCATTCATCGTTCTTTATTGACCTCCCCCACAACGCTCTGTCTTATTCATCGCAATCAGTCAACTCGTTGTTTCCTATTTAACAATTAGTACATCATTTGCGATGGCTTCCCCTACTAAACGCAAGTCTCCCGACGCAGATCATGACGCGTATCCTAGCGACGATGCCAGAACACCCACCGATGCTCCTCCTCACAAGAAGCTGCGGATAACTCGAAGCCAGAAGCAGGCCCTCATCGATAATTTGCAACTAGAGAGTATGGTCTTCTCAACGTTCTGGATGCGCCAGTTACTAACACCGTGCAGTCACAGAACGAGCTCGCAAGCTTCGCGCACAATACGCTCTCCAGGCACATGATCTGCGATCTCGAATCGAAAGACGCATTAACCGTATTCCCGTCGCACTCCGGAAGGCCAAAATGGGTGAATTGCTCGAGAAGCACAATAACTCTCTCCGAATGCAACAGACCGCCCTGTCCCCCAAGAAACACGCCAGTCCCGGTAAAGGAACGCGCAATCTCACATCTACCTCAGTCAAGCGCGGAAAACAAAGTGTCTCTACTGCAAGCCCAAGCACGCGCAGAGTAAAAAGGCAAAGGTGAGTTACCATGACCCTTTGCAATCTTCCGATTCTTGTTCGCCTGCTGACGGACTGGGGTCAAGTCACGAGGGACTCTATTCCGACAAGGAAAACGCCCCTGC